AAAAAGAACGTCACCGAAACGTTCTGCACGTGGTAAACTAATCTGAATAAGGCGAGGCCGCCAAGCCACACTCGTCGTGAGCCGTCACGCAATGCAAACAAAACATTCTGAACAAAAGACGACGACGTTTCGACGTTGGCTAAACGTCATTATTAAAAACTGGATCATTGGATAATGCAATTCAAGACTTTTTATTAGCTTAGCCATTATGGTATATGAGCCAATATAGCATAATCTAATATCTGTACATTGTAACATCCGGTTTCTTCTTACAAAATAAAGTCGAGAAGATTTGTCTAATATCTTGGGGACGTTTTTAAATAAAATTATTCCACTCGTACTTTTTGGATATGAGATGACTATCTATCATCTCATATCGAACGCGCGCTCGTGGAATAATTGTTAATTATCAAGTCAAAATATGTTTGCGAGTCCCAGTCTATAAATACTTAGCAACTTTTTAATCTTAAAATGATTTTAAGAAATGTTTTATCGCAGTTTTTTTAATGTTAAATGCTTTTCAAAATCACTTCTTGTTCGTATACTCTCAAACGCGATAATCAACTACATTTTTTTCAGAAGTCTTGAAGTGTAGCAAGCGTCTCACTAAATGTGAAGGTGCCATTGAATTTTTACGATTATGTTTGAACTTTGGTGTTACACCAGCTTTCGCACAAGTTGAACGTAGTAAAACACGTAAATGGAAGAAGTCCTCAGAAAACTACCAAAAGGCGGTCATGGAGGAGGAATTGAGATCCAAACTCACTCAGCTCAAGCATCTTAGAGAAGAAGTCCAAAAGCTTACAAGGATGTCAAGGAGGAATGCTCCTTGCTTCGCTTTGTCACCATTGTGCGGACGCTAGGTATTCTACATAATAATCAGTACATCGAAATGATGAAATGTCATGTCAACAAGATCTCACGCTTGATTTCAAAGTTTGATGTTAACGAGCACATAAATAACATGTCTTCATACCGTCTTTCGTTCTTCGAAAAACTTATCCTTTGCAGAGGATTGAAGTTTTCTGTACTTCAAAAAGTTTCACCTATTGAAATTCAAGCCAGCTTTGAAAGGTGTATTGGAGAATAGAGCCATTATTGGAAGACGCAGATGAAAAGGAACTGGCTAGCTCAACGTTACTTTCAATCGCTTTGAACTACATTCAGCGTACAAGCCCTAATCCACCTGAGGCTCTTGTAAAAACTCTCAATCGCTTAAAGAAACGTGACGACATCGTTATAACAAGCCCGATAAAGGTTCTGGGGTTGTAGTAATGGACAAACCCGACATCCGCCTACTAAGCGCTGCATCAATTGATAACACCTCTAAATTTACACAAGTTGATGACAATCGACCTAACTTGTGCGTGGACGACCACCCAAACATTTCCACCCGCTCGTTCTGAAAGAGAAAGAGCTGCACGAAATTTTACATCAAATTCTGCCTGAAGAAATTGTCAATTCACTTTCTCCTAAGAGTTCCAGGGTCGCTCATCTTTTTGGCTTACCCAAGACTCATAAAGCCACACTAAGTATGAGGCCTATTTTATCAGCAACCGGAACTTACAACTACAATCTTGCTAAATGGCTTGAATAAAAACTGAAGCTACTCTCTCTAAATGAGTATACAATCATTGCTGCCTTTACGTTCGCTGATGAGATTCGTACTCATACTATGAATAAAGATGACATACTGGTCTCTTACGACGTCACAGCTCTTTTTACCAATGTGCCTTTGGATAAGACTATCAAAATCTTAGTCAACAAAGCCTTTACTGACGACTGGTTTAACAAAACCTATGGCCTTAATCTGCAACAGGATCAGCTTGCTAGACTACTCGAAATTGCCACAACCAATCAGCTTTTCTAGTTCAATGGTCAACTTCACCAACAGACAGATGGTGTGGCTATGGGCTCGCCCTTGGTCCTCTAATGGCCAATGTCTTCATGTCATCTTGAAGAAAAGCTTACAGGAGACGGCTTGATGCCCCAGTTATACAAGAGGTACGTTGATGATGCCCTGGCTAGAATGCCGAGTGCTGATGCTGCTGCTAAGTTTCTTAGTATCCTGAATGGCCTACACCCCAGTCTAACGTTTACGATGGAGCTCCCTGTGGATAACAAGATCCCTTTCATCGGCATTGAAATCGTCAAGAACGGAACTAAACTTGAAACTCAAGTTAACAGAAAACCAACATACACTGGTTTGCTCCTGCACTTCCAAAGACACACTAATAAACGTTATAGACTCTTTATTAAAGACAATGATACATAGTGCCTATGCCTTGTCTTCAACAGAGGCTTTCAATGCAGAATGTGCCAAGTTGCGTTTTATGTTTAGTCGCCTTGACTATCCGATGAATCTTATTGATTCTGCTATCAACAGTTTTCTTTTTCCAAACACTTCAGCGAACAAAGCAGAAAGAAACAATGACGAAAGTAGCATTGTAAGAATTAGTCNGCAGATGAAAAGGAACTGGCTAGCTCAACGTTACTTTCAATCGCTTTGAACTACATTCAGCGTACAAGCCCTAATCCACCTGAGGCTCTTGTAAAAACTCTCAATCGCTTAAAGAAACGTGACGACATCGTTATAACAAGCCCGATAAAGGTTCTGGGGTTGTAGTAATGGACAAACCCGACATCCGCCTACTAAGCGCTGCATCAGTTGATAACACCTCTAAATTTACACAAGTTGATGACAATCGACCTAACTTGTGCGTGGACGACCACCCAAACATTTCCACCCGCTCGTTCAGAAAGAGAAAGAGCTGCACGAAATTTTACATCAAATTCTGCCTGAAGAAATTGTCAATTCACTTTCTCCTAAGAGTTCCAGGGTCGCTCATCTTTTTGGCTTACCCAAGACTCATAAAGCCACACTAAGTATGAGGCCTATTTTATCAGCAACCGGAACTTACAACTACAATCTTGCTAAATGGCTTGAATAAAAACTGAAGCTACTCTCTCTAAATGAGTATACAATCATTGGTGCCTTTACGTTCGCTGATGAGATTCGTACTCATACTATGAATAAAGATGACATACTGGTCTCTTACGACGTCACAGCTCTTTTTACCAATGTGCCTTTGGATAAGACTATCAAAATCTTAGTCAACAAAGCCTTTACTGACGACTGGTTTAACAAAACCTATGGCCTTAATCTGCAACAGGATCAGCTTGCTAGACTACTCGAAATTGCCACAACCAATCAGCTTTTCTAGTTCAATGGTCAACTTCACCAACAGGCAGATGGTGTGGCTATGGGCTCGCCTCTTGGTCCTCTAATGGCCAATGTCTTCATGTCATCTTGAAGAAAAGCTTACAGGAGACGGCTTGATGCCCCAGTTATACAAGAGGTACGTTGATGATGCCCTGGCTAGAATGCCGAGTGCTGATGCTGCTGCTAAGTTTCTTAGTATCCTGAATGGCCTACACCCCAGTCTAACGTTTACGATGGAGCTCCCTGTGGATAACAAGATCCCTTTCATCGGCATTGAAATCGTCAAGAACGGAACTAAACTTGAAACTCAAGTTAACAGAAAACCAACATACACTGGTTTGCTCCTGCACTTCCAAAGACACACTAATAAACGTTATAGACTCTTTATTAAAGACAATGATACATAGTGCCTATGCCTTGTCTTCAACAGAGGCTTTCAATGCAGAATGTGCCAAGTTGCGTTTTATGTTTAGTCGCCTTGACTATCCGATGAATCTTATTGATTCTGCTATCAACAGTTTTCTTTTTCCAAACACTTCAGCGAACAAAGCAGAAAGAAACAATGACGAAAGTAGCATTGTAAGAATTAGTCTTCCATTTAAAGATCAAGTGGCCGCTAATGCGGTTCGGAAGCAGTTACGTTATCTTAGCTATAAGATTGGCCCTAGTTTGCAGCCAGTTTTCGTGAGCAAGAAATTGGGGCAAGATCTTAAACCCAAAGAAATTAAGCCGTCAATTGTTAATAAGCAGTGTGTTGTTTATTCATGTGATTTGTGCGATGCAAATTATGTCGGATACACAGCCCGACACCTTCATCAACGCATTGCTGAGCACAAAAATTCGGCAATCGGTAGACATTTCTTAGAAACTCACGGAAACAACAACCTCTTGAAAGAAAACCAATTCACAGTTTTAAGATAGTGCCAGGGCAAATTTGATTGTTTAGTATTTGAAATTCTCTTCATCAAGAGTCTTAAGCCTAATTTAAATATCCAGACGGACTCCATACGTGCGAAACTTTTTTTTTAATATTTTAATCATCTTTTTCTCACTTTACAGCTTTTAATCAGCTATTGTTTTTTTTAAAGTATTTATAGACTGGAACTCACAAACATATTTTGACTTGATAATGACGTTTAGCCAACGTCGAAACGTCGTCGTCGTTTAGCAATTTTTTAATCTTAAAATGATTTCAAGAAATGTTTTATGGCGATTTTTTTGTTAAGTGCTTTTCAAAATCACTACTTGTTCGCACACTAAAGTAAGTTTTAAAAATAAAGATTTCAAATAACTTTTATTTAAACACTGACAGCGAGATCAGATTCCAATTCTAAACTACATGAAAAAAAATCTGCTATTTTAAACTTTGTCGTTATTATTCTTCTGATGTTTAACGTGAAATACATCTCATTAGCATTAATTCGCAGAAAGGAGCAGAATTGGAATATACCATGGTGGATTTAAATTGATTATCGCAACTGAGCTCAGGCAACAAAATACGAAAACTGATTCACTGTTTCCTCTTTTGAAATCAAACCAAGATTGCACTCTTAGCTACACTAGCTTTCTTTCTCTTTGATTGAGGACGGTCTTCAAAACATTGTTCTTGACTGTTGGAAATGTCAAATTCCGTTGTCTACAGAAATGAAAAAAGAAAAATAACTTGGTAAAATGCTAACGAAAGCTAGAGCAACGAAAACTATTTTGTCTGACGGGGTATTTTGCTTTGATGCTTACTCACCTCATCTTTAAGAGAAACTGCCCTTTTTAGTTTTCCCTGTTTGTTGCACATCTAAGGTATGAAAATACACGTGAGAATAACATATACTTATTATACTGCTGGCAGCGCCCACGGGCATGAAGAAGCGAATCCTGTGTTCTGATTGGCTACCCGAGCGGGTTTGCTTTGATCCCGCGCAAGAAAAAAGGTACGTGGAGCGGACTCACAAGGTTCGTAGCTTTTGGACAATGTCGGCAATGTAGTCGCAAAAAGCAGCAGAAGACAGTCAAAACAAAGAAAAAATTAAACGACCCTCTTGGATTAACTGTGCTACAAACACAGTGGCTTTCTTTCCCGGTCTCATAGATAGATAGATAGTTTTTTGGTACTTGAAGTACTTGTTAGCAAACTAGAACTGAACACTTCTCTATAGGTACTTGAGCAGTTGATCAAGACTAACATTGTTATACCCTCTAGCACAAGAATTTCAAATTTAGCTCTGGAATTATTTTTAAAATCACTCTAAACAATTACTTTTTTCTTAATGGTTTCTACCGTTCCTGATACATCCATCTTTGAGCATCTCTGAACTATTGCCTCCACCTTAAGTTGAAAAAGAACGGGAACTATTTTAAATGTACAATAAATAAGCAAGAAAAAGCTGACAAGTATGAACAAAAGTCGGGGTATTATCCATCAGAGCACGTTACGGAAAATTTCATGCTATGTAGAAAGCCAACTGGTTTTCTACTTATCAAGCTATGGGCCAGGTGACGGTAAAATCCTAAACTTTCATGAGGTTTGCACAAGTACTTCTAAGGATGCATTTCATGCTAGTTACCTCCATTTTGGGCACAAATTGGGTGTTTGCATGTGACAAGCAGACCACTAACTGGATGAATTTTCCGGACATATTGATTAAGTGAAAGGTATCCGTGATATTCACACCAAGATTACTGTTATATATCATATAACGTACCCCGTCCACTGACTTATTCCCATCAGGGACAACCTTGTCTGAAAGGTCAACATCAATTCCCAACTTTCCACTTCTTTTATTGAAATACTTCCCGAAACCCTCCGCCTGCAGTTTTTTCTTGTTAACAATTTTTCCAAGCCTAGAAAATAAATCCACAACCTGTTCAATAATCCTGGATTTATCTATCATAACTACATTAACCATAACTTTCTTGACAAAGTTACCTCTTTCCTTTTAAAGTACTTCTTATGAATCCTTCTTTCTCCAAACGTTTGACTAGACCTTGGGCGATGCTCATCTCTAACTCTGAACAAAAGTATAGAACATGCATGTGAGACTGCCGCAATCATTTATATGGTCACAGTCAATTGGAAAAAATATACATACTGAGGTGACGAGCCAAAGTGTTGGGTAGTACCCTGTTCAACTCGCTACAAGCAAGTAACGTTTTGCGCCAAAGACACGTAGCCTAACAAGAAATAAGAAACGATATAGAAGCAACAGTATGTATACTTTAGGTAGTTACTTAACAAACGCATTAAATCATTAAGGAATCATTTTGTAGATAAAATAAAATTTCGTTAGAATTAGTGCCGTAAAGACGTTCAAGCTACACTAAACACATACGGGCCGGTTGGATGTCTGAAGTGAAGTCTGAAAACCATTCAGTTGATCAATTTCTTTTAACTATGATTTCAATGGTACCTGTAAAGCTACGGTGTTAAGGTTAACCAGTGAAGAATCTGTACACTTCCCACTGTATGCACCCTAAAAAGAAAGGACAAGCAGAGTATCTTCAGGTACATACGTATGAGCTGATGAATTAACGAGACGAGTTCTCAAGAAATTCAAAGCAAAACTACCTTCGGGCAATCCACGCACACATGAAATTCTGGAGCTTCCTCTTGTTTCAAGACGCCGAAACAGACCGCGTGCTGCCAGTTATTACAAACTCCACATAGTATCATTAAGCCCTCGTCCTAAGGGAGGCAAGGTCAACACTAGTACAGATTACTAAACGTCCTACCAACTAAACAAAAAAATACATAAATAGCTAAAGAATAATTCACAGTATAATTTCTCAATAATTGCAGCTATTGTTCTTATGCTTGTCCGGCCGTGAATGATGACTTCCGCAAAGAATCTAAAAGGGTGATAGTCGCTATTATTATAGTAAAATGACATCTTGTAAGATATATTTAACATAGCATTATTCATCAAAAATCAAATCAAATAAACGTTACGTAAAATAAGTGTCCAGGCATTGAAAATACCTCGTCGTTGCCACAAGGACATTTTACTTTGATGACCTCTTCTCCATCCTGTTGAGACTGATCTATTGGATGAAAAAGGGGTGAACTAGCAATGGTACTGAAACTGGTGCAGAACAAGTGTACGATAGTTAAGTTATTAGAAGCATAACCATGAGGATTTTGAACTTTCTCACTTTTGGTCGAGCAGGTCTAAATAATCATGTGAAAGTAAGAGTATTAAAGGGTCTGATTTGGGGAGGAACACGAGTTATCTCCATTATTTTTTGGCTTTTGTCGGAACCTTTATCAAGATGCATCAGCGATGGTTAGATCTTTGGAGACCGCAGAGAACACGAATTAAGGGGCAGTGAACTTATTTCAAAAAAAGAAAAGAAAAAAAATCCTCTTCTCCTTTTTTATGCAACCTTAAGATTTCCTATCTCACCAGGTGTTATCCTTACCCTACAATTTTTGAAAAATTTCAAAGGCATGAGTAACCATATAATTTTACCAGGAAGTTCTTTATCACAGTCCATATCTTCCACTCCTAATGAAACAAAACAAAACAATCTGATTTATACTAAGTACAGCCATTGAAAACACAGTAACGGCTGTTGTGTCTTGAGTCAATAAAGGTAAAGAAGTCTAACCTTTGTCCTCTACTGTTCTGATCTGTTCGGACATTTTTCGTCCTTCTTGTTCAACGTCGCACGGGGATGACATGGAGTTCTGTGCCAAAAAATATCAGCTCTGAAAAACGCTTATTTCCTTTGTGACACGAACAACATCAAGGCTGTGCTCTAAGAAAGTTTTCAGGGAGCCCTTGAGGCTCCCAACCATTCCAGCTAGGATGCCCAGCCCTCCAGGTTGGTTGCCGAAAAACTAATTAATTACCTAATGAATGAATTGATTAATCAACCAAGCGATTAATAATTTATAATTAATTCATTTCATGTTTTAATTAGTTAATACTTAATCAAACCTTAAATTTCAGTAATTCAAGCTGTTTAGAAAGCGTTTAACTTTTGGTGTTGCTGTTTACCATATTTAATACACTGTCTGATAACTTCTGGCTCCTTTTCAGCACAAACAAGTTTGATTCCCAGTTAATGGAACACTTTATCAAAGGCACGATCACAAATTATCATAGAACAGTTTACGAATAAAGACTTTCTGCTTTTCGTAGTTTCTTTCCAGCGCACTAAGGTATTCCTCACACTCTTTTCTCTATCTGGCAGTCAAAGTAAAGGATCTCGTGCGCGTACAGCTCATGAAGATCTTGATCCATCTCCTTAACAATTTTTCACAGCGTTAGCGATCTTTAAGATCACCGTTCAACAGTTTGAGTCATCTGCGAAGCACGCCGATTTTATTTAAAGCAAAAGGTGCGAATTCCCATATGTTGACATAGGAAACCCATCCAAGTTTCGCGCCAAATGACCGAAATAAAATACCTCCCGCATCAAGAGATTTTCCGTAAAAATTTCCTTGTTCATCCACTTTTCGAAAGAGAAGCGAGGGGAAAAATGAAAAAGCCGTACATATTGCAACTATATGTGGCGAGCTGAAATTTTCAGAAAGTCGATGAAAAATTGACTGGATATTTACCGGTACAATTAAAAATAGAGTTGCTAGTCTGCGTAAATACTAAAACAAAGAATGACCTAAAACCACCTACAACCACCTTCAGAATACTATTGTGACAATTTTAATTTGTTGACAAATTTCAATGTAAATGCAAACCGGAAATGTCGCATGTCTCTAGTGAAAAACACGAAGAGAATTGTTTACACGGGAGAAGCACCAAGAGCCTTGAGGTTTTTCGAGTAATAGATAGACTACGTTTTCGAAGTCAGTGTTTTCAAGGTCTAAGTTTTCAAGGTCTGCTTTTTTCGACGCCTGTCTAAGGTCAACGGGGCACCAAGCAGAACCCCTAGTAGCAGGAAATTTGATGAGGTTGACAGGACTCCAGTCAAGAACTATTGTAATTTGGGCTCCTGTGGAATCATGTGGAACGAAACGTGGCAGTTACTTCGAAATCTTCGAACGTGAACAATTCGACTACGTGTCGCGCAGAAGAATATTTTTTCTGCTAGTAACGCTTAAAAATTAACCAAATAAAATTGTAGCTATCAATCGCCAGATTTACCACAAAGGTGAATGCTGCACAAGAGGCCGAGTGCCCGGCTCGGCGACCGGAATATATTTTCTGTCGCCCGGGACTAAATGTTAATCGCCTGAGGCGACCGGGCGCCGCTAGAGCACAGCCTTGAACATATCCTTGTAGTCTTTAATAAGAAAGGGCATTTCATAAGCTCCCGGGATCATACATTTCACATTTTCCGACATTAAAAAGTAGGCTTGAAATTAAGACACTCAAACTGCATTTTGTAATTTTGAGATTCAGGAAAAAAGCGTTCTGAATGCTTTAGCCCCACCACACGATATGAGATTCGTTAATTTGGCTAGGCCACGCAATTACGTAGGTAGACGAGGTAACCAAATGTTCGCATAGTGCTACTGCAGGATCAAAGTGTCAATGCTAAGCTTTCGTATATGATGTTCTCAGAGACAAAAGAATTCAAGCCTACTACTTAAGTATTAATTTGTTAGTCAATTTGTGTGGATTTTGGTCTTGGCTTTACAAAATATGAAAAAGAAGCCGGAGTCTAATCTGACTTTTAAATTTTTATACCGTAAAGTAATACTCACAACACGCTTGCCTGCTTCCTCTTGTTGTTGTTGCGTGGATGAATCCTGTAAACTGTTCTCTTTTGATGGAATCGTAACAGGTTCCAGATCGATATTAGAAGCTTCTTCGTTAAACTTTTCATCTTTCAGTTCAAACTGCTGACAATCTGTTTTAATACGCAACTTGACCCTGAAAACACAGAGGCAACCACCCACTAGTCAATTTCAGCGGCTACTTTAAGTACACATGATGTAATACTTATTTTTTACATTTTACCAGACAGTGTCATTACTTACGTGTGAAATGGCTGAAGACCTGTCAAGGTATCATGCATAAATGGATGCACACAGTAAAGAAAAAACGAAAGCAATGTTAGCAAACATATGTAAGTATTGCCTTTGATGCTTCAAGAAAAAAACAAACAATTCTATCATTCAGTTTTCTTGACTCTTTCAACTGATGTTTAACGGCTGATTTGAATGTTGACAGTCAAAAAACAACAAAAGTTGTTCCATAGCTGTTATTGAGAAGTTGAGTGTTTTTTTGATGGATTGTTTATCCCAATTGTCCCGCTGTTTTTTTTCCTTCGCTTTTATTGCTTTCCTGCACGCGTTGATTGTGTACATGGGACTTTGTATTTAATGTAACTACATTTGCAATAACATTTACTACATACGTATGATGCACGATCCTCGCAGTAGAGAGCGCTATTTATGCAATAGGGAACTTTAGCATCACGTTTACGGCAAACGGCGAACCTGAGGAGGTCACGTGACCATCGCTTTGCCGTCACGTTTGCAGTTTGCGGTTCCAGTTTCGACGGGAAGAAGGCGCTCCAGCCGAAAGTGACTTACGGGAAGGATTTTTGGCCACTTAACGAAACCAACTTACGTTTGACACTTTTAGTAAGAATTTTCTACCATTTATGGATCCAAATGTCGTTTTTTTGTGATTAAAAAAACAATGTATTTTGCATGATCTAAATGGAAGAAAGCCGAGTGGCGAAAGAACTTGAAAACAAAATGGCGGCTCGAAGTTCCTAAACATGTGCATGCAAAGAAGCACAGTTATGGAGTTCTGTATCAATGTATGCCTTCTTCCATTTCTANGCCATGTCTGTGCATGCTAATAGCTGTATTTTTAAAATTATCGGGTTTCAGCGGAAGTAAACTGGTACACATCTTCATGTCAACAAATGCTACTTCCGGCTAGGTTTGTGAATTGAATATCATTAATGCTTACTCTGATGCAGGACTAAATTTTTGGTTTCAAGACTTATAAAGACTTCCAAATCAAATATCGCAGCTTCGGAACTAAAGGTAACTTCCGCTACCATGATTCTCCGAACTCTGCATACAATTATGTCGATAAACGAAAGAAAGCAAAACAATCGAGTAGTGAACACCAATTGGCCATTATAAAAAAATTTGCACTTGCTCAGTCACTGCGCATGCAACGTCGTCCGAGTACAACTGAGATCTTCAGTGTCATTTTAGTCGAGGAAGCGTAAAGAACGAAATTCAATCTGACGTAACGTATAGGAAACTTCCTACGTAATGTAGTTTTTATAATGTTGCAAAAACAAGTTGAAAATAGTATCGTTAAGTGATCGTGTAAAGGAAAATAATACACCATAAAATTGCTAAAGACTCAACTCTCAGAAAGCTCTAAAGATCGTAATTATTTTTCAAAGTTAGCAGCTCAAAATTAGGTTTGCTTATAAGTAATAATCATAAAATCAACTAAGATTATTGAATCATGCTTACTCTGTACGAAGGGTGGACAGTTTGCTTTTTCTCAAGATCCGATTTTTTCTTTTCTTCGAATTAACAGTTCTCTACTGATCCACGTTTTGCAGTATGTATAGTAGTGAATAATGAAATCTCCAAATCATTTCATGGGTCGTATTTATACCTTAGTTCGTAAATATCTAAAAATAGGTTTTATAGGACTGTCACGATTAGAGATTGATATCGAGTGTTGCCATGTAGAGTAATAACAAAGCCGGATATCATCAACAACACTGAACAAAAAGAGCATTTTCAACAGAGGCACTCAAGTGCAAAGATTAGAGTTCATTATATGATGTGATTTAGATACCATGGCGAGAGATTTAACAGCCAATCAGAAACAAACCTGACGTGAAAATATTAGCCGACAATTTCCGGATGTAACTAACGTTTTCGATGTAAACAGGAACCTCTCTTGCGACAGACAAAAGGCCTCTGAAAATAAACAGAGGCAATCACTCGTTCGCAATTGAATTTACGTAAGGAGCTTGGAATGCGATATAAAAAGATTTTATGCTGAATCCTCGCTTGGCACTACATTACTTCATTACTATCTATTTTTCTTTAACCGTCAATTATGACCGCTGTGAGAAGCATTGATTGTAAAACTTAAAATTATTTTCAGTAACACAATTCGATTAAAGATATAACGAATATCAGATATAATATGCATGTTGCCATGTCATAGCGATAGTTTTATGGAAACATTCGTAAAAATTTTCCGTGTTCGCGGGTTTTTCCATGACGCAAACAGCTAACGTAACCAATACAAAATCATTACATCTAGCGCTCTTTGGTGGCGTAAACAATTACTGTGAAAAGTTAACGATGCGGACCTTGCCGCCATCGAGCAGAATTGTGAAATGGAGGTATCACCTGACGAGTGAGAAATCAAAAGCAAGTATTTCTTTCACTTCGATTTGAAATGACCTCCATAAGGCTAATTACTGTTCATTCCAGGGGGCAGATTGTGTGTTGAGCCGCGAGGTATGGAAAACTTATCTCAACGTCATTGTTTACGCCATTTCATCACATCGTACAGCTCCACAGGGTTCCCACACAAGCGGCGTATCTGGTCGTTTGTCCGAAATATAAAGAAATGTATGGGAGAATATTGAAGAGTCGTAATATCGAAAACTTATATCAAGGAATGTCTATGTTAAGACTCAAAATAAATGTAAACCTACCTCACTTGCTGTGTATTGTCGTTTCTGTAGTTCTAAATGGCAAATTTGAGCGATTTGGTAGATTTTGAAGCGTTTTCGGCGAGACGCTAGGAATCAACAAAGAAAACAACAAGGCAATAAGGTAAGTCCATTTTATTTCAAAACAAGACATTTTTTCCTCTCTTTTAAGGCAAACCGATAACATCCCATACAAACCTTTATAAATATAAAACGTTGCGCAACACGGTAAGAGTCACGTCCGCTTTTCTAGTAGTGAGCTTGGGCTGCCTGTGTTGCGTCGCGGTTTCCGTTCGCAAACGACGCAAATTTTGGTGATTTGACGTTGTTGCCTTGCTATGGACGGCTAAGAAATGTACAAAGTTTAAAAACGTACGTCCTGGCTACTGTTTCAATTATATCGATTGTTTTGCCACCTCGTTGCCGTCGCCGTTTGCTTAAGTCCCTAATCATGTAATTGTGCTACACTCAAATAATTTGTGGAACAAAGCGCCATAGTAAACGGCGCGATAGGTGCGGAGGAGTGAAAAAACGAGGGAGGCTTGGGCTGGGTCGTTCATTGCGTGACCCGATCCAAGCTTGCCTCATTTACACTCTGCTGCTGATTTACTGACTAAACCAGTCTAAACGCCTAGCTTGTGATTATCTTAAAGCTTTTTGTATTACTTAGCATTTGCATTTGAATTTACGTTTAGTCCCGACAGCATCTTACCTTAAAGCCTGGTGGTTCATAGTCAAGAGGGGTTACTACAAAACAATTGAAGCCATCGAAGTTTACTTTTTATTACTTTTGAGAAATGGGGGATAAACAAAGTACACTGGGAACGCCCCAAAAAATTATCGGATTACATTTACCTTCATCATAATACAACAGTTTCATCGTCATCATCACATCATCTGAAAAAAAAGCCACACCGCTTTTACAGCAAATAACAGGAAAACAAGAATGAGAAAAAGTATTCCAAATCTGGCTATGTCAGTTACAACACAATGAAATTCAGAGAGACTTGTTGCCAATAACATCTAACAATTAAAAAGAGCTAAAATAAGATATAGATATTTCAAGATAAACAGATAGAAAATAACAGATGTCACAGTACAACTTGCAGCATACTGAAAAACAATGAATGCTGAATTCATGATGATAATAATGCTGTAACTTACCTGGTAGTGATGCCAAAGTCTGACTGAGAAGGATTATTGTTCTAAAATTTGAAGGAAAAATTAGAGCATATATACATTTTATCAAACTACTTGTAAAAATCCTCAAATTACAACTGAAATATTATTCTAATATTTAAAAAGAAAATGACCATAAATCTTGGTTAACAGCCATTAATCTATTTTTAAAATCTTGCTTGGCAACTGTAACCAATTTTACATGCATAAAAAAAGAAAAGAACTAAAAAATTCATTGATCATTTGATAGCCAGAGCATCAATATATCATTTAATTCTCAAATAAAGACCTACCTAAGCAAACGTATGGTTGCTTTCTTAGTCTCTTTCTCTGTATGTGCACTTGCAATTTTATTTCCATTCCTAAATATAATAAACTTGACTTTGATATCAAGATAAATTTACTCAAAGTAATATGGCAGACCCTGAAGCAGATGGCCCCCAACATGCAACATGACTCTATAACAGAACTGGAAGTGCCTAATACTACATCTCCTCCCCCAAAGCTCAAGAGAACTGACTCAACAAGAAACTTAAAAAATTTTAGCGTCATAATACTATTATGTTTATAGTCTGTAAGTATTTCTCAAATCCAGACTCTTTGGTGGTCCCTAGTCTTTGCCAACAGAAGAGTAAATGGGGAAGTCATTGGTGTTCATATGGCTTTCCTTAGGTGGTGCTGCCATTGTTGGCCCACAAAGTTCTGTTGGTGCAGAGTTGAAAACTTTACAAGGTGTCGGGGCATGTTTGTTGCTTGACTGTCTGGTATTACTTTAGCTGGTCTAACAGGGCATGTGTAAACCAAGCATAATACCACCTGTGACCAAAAGCGCTGATCAATTACGTCTCAATGTGCTCAAGGTAGTCTTCCTTAGGTAAGACCTGGGCTGATTTGCTCATCCAGCAATCTATCCTATCTAGTTTTAGTCTTGTACCCAAATGTTCTCGCCTGTTACGTGTGGAGGAAGATCATGAGCCTGCTAGTGTTTGCCAATGCTAATCTGTATTCATCATCTTCCAGTTGAACCATTTCCTAGTCAGTGTTCTGCATGTTAGGTTTGAGGATACTAGATATGCTGGGAACTTTGGTTCAAAATGGCCCATGAGTAATTTGCTGGGTGAAAGTCCATTCTGCAAAGGCGTAGAAAGGTGTCAGAGCTGAATTGTGGATCATTATCTGATACAATAATCTCTGGTGTGCCATGGGTGGAGAAGTGTTCTTTCAAATGTCACATTGACTCTAGGTGAAGATTGGTAACTGAGTTTCTTGATCTCAAACCATATCTAGAGTAGTACCGCAATCCATAGTATTTAAGTACACTTTGCCCTCTGGTTTAAATGGGTCAGTAGCTAGCCTTTGCCAAGGACTTTCTGCAAAGGAGGCTATGATCCTTTGGCTCAGGGCTATCTTTGGCCCAGGTACTACAGTTTTTCACCATGTCCTCAATCTGATAGGAAAGTCCTGGCCACCATAGGGACATTGGGGCTCTAGCTCGACACTTAGTTATGCTAAGATGACAAGTGTGAATATGGTCAAGTATCTCTAGCCTAGTGGACCTTGGGATTATAAGGCCTTCATTGAAAAAAGCAAGTCATCATGGAGCATGAGCCACTTTGGCCACGTATCGGCTGATTGTGGAGAACTGGCCCCTTTAAATTTTCCAGCAAGAGGAATTTGTGTTGTCATTTGGCCTTGACTGACTGTTTCAACAGCGAGTGGATCTGGTTTTTCACTTCCTGGCATAGTCACATACTGATCCCACACTGCCACCTTGTAATAAACTTTGCTTTAATGTCAAGATTACAGTATTCATTTGTATATAGGCTGAGCAACTTTTTCAAAAAACTTTACCAAAATCTCGAAAATTTGAGCTTGAAAAAGTGTCCTCAACTAATAGCTAAGTGTTTTTCCAAACAAAATATTTCCAAAACAGCAAATTCAAAAGAAACATAGTTTTTTTCATCTATAAGCCGAGATACTGCATGCACAAACTAATAATGTATCTCAAAACAATATGGTGGGTCCTCAAACATATGGTCCCCAACATGCAGTGGGACACTTGAATAGAAGTGCCTAATATTGCACCAAGAGTAACTAAGTGATAACAGAATGACAATCATAAACTATATGGTAATTCTATTATTTCTTATAGTTTCTGTTTCAAATCATTGACAAAAATTCTTTTATACCTGAAGATACTGACTTCACTTCCAACGTAAGAGAACTGTGAAAAAGATTTTGTTAGCATTTAAATTACATTTATGCATGATGGTATACACAGGGCTCGACACAAACTTTTCAACTTACTGGCCAAGTGGCTAGTGACATCTTAGATGTTACGACAATTCTAGTCTGTTTACTAGCCAAACTGGCACATGGAAATCAAAAACCACAAGCCAAAACTGAATTTCTACAAGTCTGTGGCTAGTTGGCTACCATTAGTGTTGAGCCCTGATATCATATGATAAACTGCATTCTGCATACTTTTTGATCAGTTCTTATTTATGATCTATTGGAGGGCAGATGCATAGATGATGTCACTAGAAACAACATTTTTATTTTCTATCATATAAAACAAATAGATTCCGGACCAATAGAGTCTGTACAGTAATGTATCATAGAAGATGTCAAAATGTGGTGAGTACATCAGTCACACACTTGGCTACACCTCCAGTGCCACTTTTTGATTCTTATCACATTTTGTGGTCAGCTGTGATCAACTACTAAACAGATGCTTGGGAACATATTGGAATCTATTTGTGAAAATACTTACAGATTTTTCTGCAAAATTGGAAGGCAAGCTCTCTCAAGTCACTTGCAACACAATATATCTCACCCACCCACTCAACCCTCTGCACTCAACCATAGAGAACATCTCTTGTGAAAATAGCAATGAGACTAAGATGTTCTGAGGATAAGGATACTTTTTTTTTGTGATAATTTCAAATCAAATGGAGTGGCTTTGATAGAAATCACTTTTGATTAGGTCAGGATATGTGGAAATGGCTGCTGAACTCTTGATTAATTCTGTGTTATTATATTTATCAAATGCAACCTACCTTAAAGGTGTAAGTCTCAATGACAGTCTAGATACCAAACATACAATGAATAACAAGAGGTATTAAAAAAGGCCCAACTGATTCTTTATATCAAATGCAGCTATTGCGGCTTAATTTTTAAATGATTTTGTAATCTTCCCATCTACTTCCAGTCTACAAAGTTCTGCCAACATTATATTGCAAAACCATGCTAGAGTCAAACCTTGAATTTTTTTAAATCAGGGCAGTCCTTTTTACATGGACATGCAGGATTTCCTATCTAATAGACAATAAGTATAATCTGAGTCCAGTGAAGAAAAACCAATTTTATTGATTAATCCAGTATTGTTTTAAAAAATCAACTGAAAATAAATCACTCTTTTACATCAATTAAATTAAGTAATGGATTGTAACCACAATTTCAGTCACTTACATCAGGGTTTTCAGCATCACCATAGATCTGATTTGAATTGTAAAAGTTAGATGAGTGTTTGTTTTGGAAGTTATCATCACAACTTTCAATGAAGACAGCTCTTAAATACTTACACCAATAATAATCATCCTGAGCTGCAAGAAAAAGAAAATTTAATGATTATTGCAATCATGACAATTGTTTGCCTCACAATGTCTTGAAACAAACAAGTACACTTCTCTTTTTAAAATGTTCTTTACCACTATCACTAACTACAACCTGTTTTACAATATAAAGCTCTATATTTGTTTGCTCTCTTTTCAGGCATTCAACCATTTTCATATGATTAAAGGCAATAGAGATAGAAAGCAGAAACCAAAGTTCAATATATTAATTCAAGCTAGTCAACATAAATTACTGGTAGGTCAATACAGTAATTACAAAACTTACATATCCCTTATCAAGAGCATCAAAGCAACCTTTGATCCTGTTTCAAATGAAAAAAAAATCACATCACACTGTTGCCCATAGTTTTTAATTGGGAGCTGTCTGCTACTGCACCCATACTACAATATGTCTGGTTAGCAATGGCAAAAATAGTAAGTTAAAGATTGAAGAGTTAAACAAAAACCAAAACATGTATGAGAATAAAAAAAAAAGGAAAAAAACTCTTGTGAGTTTCTGGGTGGATAATATGTTCAAAGTGAGAAGAAATTTGTCCTTCCAAAAGCATTTGAGAGATTGGTGCACCACAATGGAGGAAGCTTAATAATTAACTGTATTTACCACTGTATTACTTGACATGCCCCTGGACAAGCACTGTCATCCTTCAGGATTTTCAGATTCAAATCTGAAGCACAAAGATTTTTCAGGTGAGGAAAGCTTAAACAATGGATTTTATTGCACAGATCTTATTTTCAATTACACCTTCACTGATGTTAAATAATACCACATTACTATGTGCATTTTATCAAAAGGGCTGTGAATTTCTATAAAGGTGTGACATGACTTGTGAAATATTGGTTAAAGGCTAACAGCCAGCATCTTCATCCGTAGATGACTTTGTAACCATTCTATCAAATTTCATCATCTACAGACCAAAATTAAGAATTTGTGAAAGCCTTGCATTTCACCAGTATGTCAATCATACAGTTACAACATTAACTTAAGCAAATTTATTGATAATATAATACCTTCTAAGCATCTGTCTCCAAAGGCATGCTCTGGGAATATAGTTCTGTTTGAAGAAGATGAATGAAAAATTCTAAAATTTACTAGTGATATCCTTGACAATAAAGAAGGTATTTATAAGAAATGAATTTATACTTATTTGAGTTTATTGAATTTTATTCTAACATGGAAAGAAGTACATGCATGCCTTACATGAAATAAAAGCTGAGTAAATGTTGGTGTTTCTTTTACCTGAGGTAAGTTATACTAGAGACCTGAAAGAAACAAAAAATTTCATGAAAAACAAACAGAAACCAAAATTTATCAACAACAATGCAAAATGGTCTAGAACTGTACTTACTGCGACTGCTAAAAGCTTCTTCACAAATAAAGCTGACTGCTGTTCTGTTGGAGAAAGCAACAAATCACTTTTACAGCTAAAGAGTATGGTTAGAGAAACCCAATATTTAAAAGTTTCAGTTTTTATCTACCCTTAAATACCTGTCACTTGTTGAGAAGGAAAAATACTCGACCACTGAGAAAATAAAAACAACAGATTAGTCTATGTATCTTTTACTTCATCAGTTGAAGTACGTTACTATACATTGTCACTTTATGGATTTGAAACTTGGACTTGAATGGTTTGTAAGTTTTTTTTCTCTCTTCTACCTTTCAAATGAGCTGCACAAAACAATACACATAGATTTCAGTTCCTCCCAGTCTTTAATTCAATCTAAGCTGACTTTTATGTTGTAATCCATCACTTTGTTGTATTAAATTTGTTGTGCTTCAAACAACCGCTGTAATAGTTTTGCATGAGTTAACTAAAGGTGTAGCTAGAACTAACTGGTATCACATCTTTAAGGAGATTATCTTCTGCACCTCTTAGTGCAAAATTAAAAGAAAAGTATGTTTGCTTATCATATGATTAAATAAATGTGATTAAATAACACAATATCCATGCAATAAAACTAACATTATGAACATGACTTACAGTAACTGTTTTTTCCTGCTCCCTCATTGCTTGAGCAGTTGCCATAGCACCTACAAATAATGATAGGAACACATTGAACAAATTTAAAATCGAGAAGCCACTGTATGTCGATACGTTTTTAAATACTTGAAGCTTTGCAATAATAACATTTCTCGCTGAAGGCCATGTACTGTACAAGTCATAAAAAATTAATTTCAATCGGATAGATCGCCTGCAGTCACGTTTCTGTAATCAAGATTTGGTACAGGTATAGGATCACATGATTTTGAGTGCAGTTTTGAATAAATGAGCACGAGATATTTTCAAAATGATTTGATTTTATCAGCTGAGTTGATAATGTGAAATGGCCACCTTATAGAGTTCCTTATATAGATTCATGAGCTGACAATTTAAGCTTTAACCCCTCGTCAGAATGAAACTGCTCTAAGCGTCATCTCTAAAATCAATTCACGGTGAACATTCAGTTGGAAAAACCAAATTATCTTGTAACACTCCCACTGACGTAGCACCATTAGAAATTTTTACGAGAACTTATCAATTCAAATTTGCACGAGAAAAAAAAAGTGTGATTGGTTATTGTAATAATGTACCCTCAATCAATGAATAATTTTTAAAAATGCCGTATGTTCGTACAAATTCATCGACTCCATACGAGGAAACCCATTTTAACTCATGGTGGTTACATTGAGAAGCAATATAAAACTTAGATTCTGATATAAACGTAAGCTTACCTTTATTTGCTCGATACGCAGGACAGAATTGACAAAATGAACTCGGGAAATGACCGGCGAAAAAGACTCTCTTATATATAAACTTAAGACCGTCGGGAAAAAGATTTCATAATGGAATAATGATACGAAAAATACAAGCAAGAACCTTGGCCGGCAGGTTGTCTTTCGAGCTTGTATCAATGTTGAAAATCAAAGGCGGGAAATTTTCGGTGTGGCCGCGTCCAATAAGTGGAAGCCGCGTTTTGGCGGTAAATTTTGGCGGGTACAAACGGGTAAAGCTCCTGCGCAAGGCAGAGAAAGGGGACAGAGCTGGACAGAGGAGCAGAGGGGCATTTTGTCTGCGCATGCACAAGATTTCAGTTTCGATGAGTTTAGCCGCTGGTGCGCGCCCGCACAAACTCCCGCTCGTAATGAATGAATGAATGAAAAACTTTATTTAAGTGTCTATGTTTTTAGCTATAAGCTAATGGGGGACACTAAAAAAAATTTAAAAGTCAAATACATTTACATATGTAGATGATAGTTATTTACAGTAGATAATTAAAAAGATTATAAAGTTATTAAGTTAAGTTTTAAATTTCAACGAGAGTTGAAAGGTCGACTTTTCTTATGTTCTTCTTGAACGAATTTAGAGTTTCTATCGTTCTTAGGTGTCTTGGTAACTTCGACCAGATGAGAGGTCCCATATATATAATAGAATTCCTACCAAATCTTACAGTTTCGAATCTTGGCAGTTCGAAGTCACTGGTCCGTAAATTATATTGAGTGTTCTTTATATCAAATAAGTCAGAAATATTTTCAGGTACGAGACTGTGCTTAACTTTAAACATCAAAGTGGCAAAGTCTTGTAGGCGCCGATTTTTCAACGTCGGTAGTTTGGCGCGACTTAGCAGTTCGTGATAGGAAGCTGATCTAGTTTTGTACACCGCCCTAAGTGCTCGCTCCTGAATCCGCTCAAGCTTTCTCCGATCCGATGCATTACAAAAGTGCCATACTACACTGATGACAGTAGGTTAGATGGGGCAGAATTGAAGACCTATAAAGTGATATTTTAGCATTACAGGGTATCAAATTGCGTAGCCGCACTAGGACCCCTACTTTTTGACTGGCCTTAGAGCATAGATCACTGATATGACCAGTAAAACTCAATTTTTCATCGATTTGAACTCCTAAAAGCCGTTTTTCCCCCATTCTCTTAATAATATGACCATCAACAGAAAAATTTTGATTATCGTTGTCTTTGTCAACATTTCTCGGGTTGATCGTTAATAGCTGGAACTTTTCTGGGTTGGTTGAGAGATAGTTGTTCTTTTACCAGGATAGAGCTTTCTTCGAAAACTGAAACGAAGTTGTGTGCAATGGCGGTGAAAACAAAACTGTTTTTCGTTTTGCAAGTGTGTGCACTAATTTTTATCGTAAACGTGACGGAAAGTGTAAAAAGGTCGAAGCATGGGTGTATAATCTGCGGAAAAAAGCCTCAGTAAAACTCCATTTCGTGGTGTAGACAGGCAGTCAAACGCCGACTTGGAAGCTTGGTTTGGTTTCCTCGAGAAAACATCGGGAGACATTTGTGAAGCCTGCAGAAAAGCTCTCCAACAGTACAGAAACAATACGAAGACATTTCGCCGCGTTAGTATTTCCTCGCGTTTAATTTTTCAGTCTAATCTCGCGCACACTTATGGTGCGAAACTAAGATTGAACGCTGCTCCGTGCAGCTAGAACTACCGAAGTGTTATATTTTCATTGATATCTAGTGCCAAGCTTTATATGTAAACAAGTCAACGAATATGTACCTGAACAGAGCTGAATAATGAAATGCTACGTCAGAGGGTATGCGGTCAACAACGCGGGGTCAAGTGTGGTAGGTCTAAAATTTAGCGAAATTAGCGCTGACTTTTAAAACGGAGGAACTCTGTTTTCGTGGAAGGCATATTCCTATTTCCAGAGGTTGTAAGGAGAAAATTAATTTTTGAAAATTTTTAGGGGGTTTACCAAGTTTTTGGAGGTTGCTCTGTAAAAGAAAAGCGGCAAGGAAAACAACGCCTCGAAGCAACAGAATAGGAAATCAACCACACGAACGACTCAAAATCTGTATACGTGATTCATCTCTGTCTCATTAGGGCGTAATTTCATTTAGGGTGCAATCAAGGCTTTTCAGACATCTCGATAGTGGCTTTTTATACTTCAACATCTGTTTCTATCTATGTCATTGAGAGAAGTGAACGCGTTTCCCAGTCGATCCTTGTAGTTCACTTCAGTTTTGGTTCTGAATTAAGCAGAAATCTAGCGAAAATCCAAAAATACTCGTTACGAATAAACCAGAAACCATGGAAGAAGCTTATGTCGCCCTATCTCAAAAAATACATGCAAATCGGCTTGTAAAATCAAGATGAATTTAAAGTATATGAAGTGAACTTTAGTAAGGACAGTTTGTCACGGCGATGAACTGTTCAACTCATCAAAAGATATCCTTTCTCTCACTTTGATTTTCATTTCAAACAAAAGGCCTCTTAAGCCCTCGCTAATCATGAGAAGTTCTGGCTAAACACCAAATCACACCTGTCAGACGATATTGAAAATGGTTTCTGCATCCACTGAAACTGAATTAAACATAACGCGAAACGGAGTGGCGGAGTAGATGACTTTTGAAATAAGGAAGAAAATGCACCGTTCCCGATTTTGCCGATAAAGCAGAAATTTAATTTGTCCAAACTTTACAGTCTGTGAACCTAATTAATATACATCTAACTTGGTAATAGCTTGGGTGAGCTGATTGATTCAGGAGATTAGAAATATGAACTCAGAAGTTACGTTTTTTTTTTCTGTTCTGACATTCACGATTGAGGCGATTAAAACACTTACTTCTTCGCCGGCTTAACAATAACATGTAAGCCAGTTTTTTACTGCTAGAGACGTGTTAGACTGTAGCCTTCATTAACGTACGCAATATTCAGAGTATACAATATTACGAAAAACATTAATTTGCATCTGCCGAAATTCGTTGCACGTGAACAAAACTGAACAGAAAACGAAGAAAAGTGACGGAACTGTAGGTTAGATTTAACAGGATTCATTCTTGAATAAACTTGCGACTCTCAAATATCTATCGGGCCATAACAAAGAGTCGAACATGCATAGTGGCCAAATGAAAGCTTAAATCGTCTTCTAAATAATAGAGTCGATTTTTGTCTCTGCAAATTTCTGAGGATGCCTCGCATATCACAGTTTTCACGCCCGGTCTGCACACTGAAATAGGTTTCCTACCTTTGACTTAACCGTATGAAGATAAAAGAAGAAAAGATGTTTTATGCAGATAGTCAAGTTATTGTTTTTTGATATTAACGAACAATAAAGTGCTTACGACTGAGATTGCAAAGCCCTTGCACGGCGAATTTTAATTGGCTCTCTATTAATGAACCTTAAGAAAACAATATACAGCAACCTGTCGCGCGAAGAGTGCGTTACACCCTTATCACAGCATACATATTCATATAACTAGCGCAGTGGTTCGTCTTAAAGCATTAGTTTCTTCTCGCTGCGTGTGTTTACAGCCCAACGGACACAGGTATCTTTTGTGACTCAATTTACGAAGCCAAATGTCGACTCGATGTGTGGTATCAAGTGCATAAAGACCCTACTTTTTGCCTTCAATTTTATATTTTGGGTAGGTTTAAATAATTTTGTGTTAGTATTCGTCTACTTGAGTTTCGCTTTCTAGCTGAAACTCCCCTCAGCGTTCCACTAGCGTTACTAGAACGCTCTTAGGGTCCGGTTGTAAACAATCTGTTTCAGGTTTTCGTCTTTTCTTAATCTGTTCTTATTGAAAGATTTTTACTTGCTATTCAAATGCGAGAAACCTTCTCAATATCACTCAGAACTGAGATCTAAATATAACTAAGTAATTCCTCAAAGTCTTCATTGAGAGCCGTTCTAATGAAGCATACGATTCTAAAATGATTGTGAAAATATTTTTGACATTGCGTTATTTTTGGCTGGTATTTTTTCATCGTAATTTCAAAACGGAAAGTAAAACGTCTTCATTTGCCTAAGTAAATATTCCGGCCGAGCCAAATGCATGTAACTGGCAACAAGAAACAAGTGTTTTGTTCGCCGTGACAATGTGACTCACACCAAACTCAAATATGGTAGATATGCATATTTATTAATTGGCGCTGAAAAATTAAATTCGCGTATTGACAAATGAGAAGGTTTGATGTTGGATAGGCGGAAGTCATTCCGATGTTTACAGAAGCACAGGCAAGCGACAAGGTCGAGAAACCATCTTCAAGATTCTCTATATTTAAGTTATTGAAATGGCGAATAACAGACGAGCCATAACAATTTTCTCGTGCTGCGGCGGGTGATATTATCATTCATATTGTACTCTGTGACCGCCAAATGGGTCACAATTCACTTACTGACATCTGCACAGCGGTGTGTGCAAAAAGAATGCATTTCAATGATATTCGTGCCAGAATTTTCCCATAACTTTGATATCGAGTCGAAGAGGACTTTGCGTAATCTATGGAGTTTTCTAATCGTTTTGCTTTGCTAATAGGATTTGTTATTACGATGTTAATTAAAAGTGGCAGTAATTATCGGAAGTCTGTCGTTCAATTCAAAATTAAGCGCACAAAAGAGTGCGTGTAATGACGTGTGCTGTTTATGATATCATGTCAATATCTTGTATAACATCTTCATCCATTCGTGACCTTTCGCAGATTGACGGCTAATGTTGAGAGATTGTTAATAGACTTTCCGTAGGCCTCTATTTTTGATTGAACCACATGCGTCAGTAGACTTTGGAATAGAAGGTTCCACCACATAGTGAATCGGATAAAGCGTTTTCCACTCATAAATCAAATTCGTTTTTACTCTTGGATGGAAACCGAAAATTTTTCAAAAGTTGAGATCAATTTGGGGCCCTGGGAGAGAGTGATCTGTTCAGGATGCGACGCACGCGAACCTGAGTGAAGAGTCACGAAAGGAAAATTGCAGTTCGCTTTTTGTGCTCCTTTCGTCGCGTGTTTCTGCGGTCAATTAACTATATGGGCATAAGGGGAGTGGATGTGAAGTGGAGGGGGGGGGGATACTTGTATCCTAGAACTCTGTCAGTAACACCTTTAATAAAATCTTTGATTATATTTCTATTCTTCGCTTCCACAGCTTGCCGGGGCAGCGGTCTTAGGAATAGGAATATGGTACGAGATAGACCCGGGGCAGTTCAACGCCTTTCTTGGGAATAGTGGCTACCGGGTTCCCTCCATAATCTTAATGGCGACCGGTGGATTTGTGATGTTCGTCGGTTTCCTTGGATGCTGTGGGGCCATTAAGGAAAGTCGATGCCTCCTGGGTTTGGTATGTTGTAGTTGTTACTGATTGGTACCCTTCCTCCAAAGATTACAAACAGGTGTGCGAAAATTTCATGGGAAAGAATTGGCGGGTTGGAGCTTGTTCTTATCGAGTGTCGTAAAATCAGAACCAAGCGAAATACTGTATCATAGAGAATAAATGAAAATTCAGAAAAGGAAAAACAAGCAAACTATCTGAAACGCGGGAAAAAGCAAGCAACCGAGTCGTAATAGGTTTTCATTATGAATTACCGGTAGATAAGTTAAGAGAATGGCGCAAGTTTTCTGGGCCAATCACGCGGCGAAGTAAAGAAAAATCAAAGCAATACCGTATTTACTTTCCACGCTCACTTGAAAATTGCTCCAGTGACCACTGATCGATTTAGGGGAGTAGCAGTACTCCGTGTTGATTTATGTCATGGAAAACGGGATGAACCGAGGTGGCAATGAGCTTTTGGACTTGTTATGCATGGCTAACCTGTAGCTTTTTTTTTATTCTTTTTAACAATTTGTCTGTTTTTTAGTTCTTTGGTTGCTTATTTTTGATATTTGCTGCTGAAGCTGTGGCGGGAATTCTTGGTTTCCTTTATCGCGACAGGGTAGGTCTAAATTACATAGCTTTTCTTTATTATGACTGATCTCACGTATTTCCGTTTTTTAAGCTTTGGGTATTTGAATTCATACAAGTAACGATGTAAAAGCCTTTTATACGCTAGAATACTTACGAGAGCGAGCCTTACACTGAGTCAACCGAGTCCAGTCGGCTCTCAGTCTTCAAATTTCAGAACCTTGAGCAATCGAGATGAAAATTTCAACTTCCGCAATTCCGGCGGAAATAACCAGGCACGAGCGTCGGAACGCTACACGTGCAAAGTCAAGTGAAAGATCGACGATGCGGGAAAGCTGATAGTATCCCATTTCCTCCCCGTTTATGTTTGCTCTCGCACAACTTAAGTTTCTTCAACCACCGCACACCGAACGTGATACAAATAAATTTTACTAGGTGCTTGCAAAGAAAAGAATCTCTCAGAAGTTAGATTCGATGACCGGTCCGTTCGATATGTCAACTCATTTCTTTCTGAAGAAGAGGGAGCAAAATGTCTCGAAAACTTATGGCTTAAGTTAGCTGAATTTATAATCAGACTATTTCTTTCTTTTTTCTTTCAAAAGGTTGAAACTGAGGTGGAAATCAGACTCAAGGAAGAAATAATGACAAATTATGGAGTGACAATCGATTCAAACACCAATCAAAACGTGGACAATTTACAAATTCGAGTAAGCAGATCAAATTATTTCGTTAGACTTAAAACGCAAGCTTTCGAGATTATACGGTAAGAAGCTCTAGTTATAAGTGACATTTGTAACATTTTTACCACCCAAGAGGGGTGGAGACGAGGTTAGAGTACTCCCGTTATTCTCTTGTCTGCCCAACCGTGTCAAAACCGCCGGACCTTTGGCGTATTCATGGATTGTAATCTGGGATCAAAAAGTGCTAAGGAATTTCCAGGGCTTTCACTAAAGGCCGGTTACCAGCGTTCTACTACCGCCTGAAAAACCTCCTAAAGCCATCTGTTGAGCCTGCGAGCCGGCTCTTGTGTTTGAGTTTCACCTTACGGGCCTTTTTCGGTCATGGGCGTTATTACAGCATCAGCATCTGCTTATGGAAAAAGTTATTGAAACTCCGTAGGTATACCCCACTCTTTGTCATCATATTGCACAGAAGGAAATTAGGCATGTTAACTAGTCTTCATCCTTGTATTAGGAATTGTCAGTTTTTCTTTACAAAGACAGGTCTTCCCCTCCCTCCTTACAAAGACAGGTTCACGAACAACCTCAGCCTTCCTCTCGCTTGCAACAAAGAGGATCTTACAAACATGTCACTCCCCCTCGGGCTTACAAACAAGCCCAGACCCCCCCCCTCCCATCTCTCTTTCCGCTAACTCTTTGCCTTGAACCAATAGGTCAGAGTTAATTAAAACAGACAAATAGCTAGGAAAAAGACTTTTTCCCCTTTATTGATAATTTAAAATGAGTGGTTATCCCAGAAGGTACTCACTAAAATTTTCCTTGTTTTTCATTCTCTGAAGCTCGAATGCTGTGGCGCCATTAATTTTACTGACTGGAGCAAAAGTGAATGGAAAAAAAACAATCAAGACAAGAGAGTACCGCTGAGTTGCTGTAAGAAGGATGAAAGCACAAAAACTTGTAACAAGGCGTCGAGTTTCGATAAAAACAAAATTCACACGAAGGTAATACCTCTGATATTTACAGGTAAAAGAGAAGCACGCTCCCGAAACCATAAAACCTTTATCTCCGCCTTTAAAAAAGGACTCAGGGGGCTATCGTTATTGTTTACCGCCTGTAGGGGTCGGAGGATTTTTTGTTTTGTTTTTGTTCTCTTCCCCTCCGCTTCCCCCGCAAGGTTTGGTAGTATTCTGATAATCCCCATTCATTGGCAGTTAATTTCTCAAAGTCCATCATTTATACTCTAGTAGCGACGACTGATGCCTCCACTACCCCCCTGAAAACCAACGATCACCCCAGGGGATCAACAATGGTGGTCTCGTACAAAATTATGACGTTGACAGCGTTTTGAAATTTCTAAAGAGTTACGTGCTTTTACTTCTCAAATATGCTGCAATTTTGAATATTCCTTGACAGCTTTCATCCTTTTTCTACATCCGCTTGGCGATCTGTTTAAACAATCAAATGTTACAAAATGGGGTATTTGTGCCTCAAATAATGATGCTTTTACGAGAACCAGAGCAGAAGGTGATTATGAAGTATGACGATACGATTCACTATCACATGCTTCTGCGGCTGGGTTACTAAGTTGTTTTTCAAAATGGCGGCGTTTATGGTCGGGCAGGTTTTGAACGATTAGATTACCCCTGAAAATTCAGAAACACGATGAGGAGTAAATTTACATCTATAATTTTCAGTTGTGGATATGAAATTTATATGATATCTGCTCCATAAGTTTCAATTACCTTTTTTGAAAACTTTTAATCAACTCTTATCAACTAATACGGCCATACGGCGTGATTTCATACTTTAAAAGTGCGGCCTTCCAGCAACGTTTCGAGCGTTAGCCCTTCGATCGTTGGAGCGAAAGTTTTGACAATTTCGCTCTAACGAGGGGCTAATGCTTGAAACGTCAGCTTTGAAATTCTTTACGATTGTCAATTTTCTTTATCAACTCAGTTGATAAAACCATAATTACCTTGTTTAAAAGTTCAAGTTGATCAGCGCAGAACTTGGTAACTCAATGGACGCCATCGCCCACTCTCTGACGCTTTTGTCCACAAATTTTTCCAGGGTTGTCTTCAGTCGCTTAAAGATTTTGTCGACAAACATCTGGTCGTTCTCGGTATTGTAGCAGTATCCATTGCCGGAATCCAGGTTTGTAGATGTACTTGACACAGAAACCTAATTATTGTCACGCCCACCGTAGGCAAAGGAAACTTTTTAAATCTTTGGGCATTTCTCTGTGCTGGTCACTGGTCACTGTGCTTAAGGGCGTAGCTAAGGTATCACGAATGAAAGGAGAAAGAAAAGAGTCCTTCAACTTCTTAAAATTGTATTTTGGCATCTTTTCTACTTAAGCAGATATAAAGCAAAAAGTAATTTGAGGCGCAAGATTGATGAGAAAATAAACCTTTATGAAAAATAGGTGAAACAAAAACAAACGAATCAAAGTTAAGGTACTTGTCATTAAGCTTTAGTGATCAAATACTTGAGAGGTTGCGGTCAAATTAGTCTGAGCAAGAGCTCAGAGATGTTTTTCACGAGATGCTTTTTTTTGTTTTCAGTTAATTGGAATGATTTTTGCCTGCTGTCTCTTCTGCTCCATTGATGTATGAAGGAAACGGAACCTAAATCAATTGACATAGGAATCATTTAATGATACAGCTATCAGTGATCTAAGTTCCTTTTATTTAATCTAATTCTTATGGAAGAAAAGCAAATGAAGCTTAAAATGTTATCTCCGTCTAGACATTGATTTTTGTCTTGAAAATTTTGGTCGAATTAACCAAGAAGTGTCTGCCTAGATGCTGCTATCGAAAAAGGGAATGCGTTCACGAGCTCTTAAAATTCTTTCATAGGAGAGCGCTTTTCAATTAACTCTCGTAAAACCAAAACAAAAGCAATCACTAGTAGATCAGATCAAAGGAAATTCCATAAAAGATAAAATAGGATATAAGTCCGATAAGAATTCGAGGTAAACCGACAAACTTGTTTGACGCGTGGAAAAAACGGTGCTGATCAAGTCTCCATTGTCTGTTGTTTTCCATCTGATTCGCTGGGAGAGTGGCGCGAGTTTTGTAGACTAGTTGTCACGCAGCGAATTAAGGTAAAGCCATTGTAATCTATGCCGACTTGGTTAGGCACTGGAGCACTGAGAAGGACAAGGGAGCTCACTGCCTAACGTCACTGCTGGTGTTTTGTTTCTTTGCTGTTTGTTTGGGTTTCGCCTAGAATAGTAGATCTCACTCGGCCGAGACACTCGGACCCAGACCTCTCGGTTTTTTCCATACAGGCCTACTATACTACTTATTAAATTACAAAGTGCGAACGATAAAAAAAAAGAGGGGTGCAGAAGTGGCGTATGGGACATCAAGGGAGATTGCTGCCTCGTCTCCAAGGCTTCTTTTATTCTTTACCGCACGAAAGAGATCGGGAATGGTAGGAGACCCTCCATCGATCACTTTTATGCTTGATGACGTTATTTACTGAAGTTCACCGTGAAGCCTCGTTTACCCTTAGGTTTTAATGAATCTTTGCCACACTTTCCTGTTGTTTTCGTGTGGGCATTCTCGTGATTTCAGTGTTTTAGGTGAACTTTCTTATAAAAGTTCACCACTCCCACTCTTGCACGCGGGGCTTACGGTGAAATATGGCATTCGAACGTAAAAATATACAAGGCTTTTCTTGAATAAGTTATCAGCGTATTTTACTTTAATGAGGCGCATCTCGATTGAGTTTCTTAAAACCGAAACCAAAGTAATCACGAAGCCAATGAGATTGAATTAAAATACCGCGTTTCTCATTTCCACCGTTTTCTCGTGTCCAGTCTTCGATCCTACCGAGAAAGAGCGCGGGCTCAATCTAAACAGGACTGGTAATCGAGATAAATGTCTACAGGAGTAGATAATAACTCAAAGTGAAATCACTTAATTGGCTCCAAGCGCTGGAAAACGCGAATTATCAAGTCTCGATTGGTTGTAGTCTTGCATGTGATTGGCTGAGTATCGGCGAGAGTTTTTTTTTAACCAATCGCAAGGCATAGTCGAATAAACTCAGTAATGACTATCGACACTTAATCGAGAACCGCTTCAACTTTGAATAGTTTGAATGACTAGACCAGACAGGATAGATAATAGATTATAATATAACTATCCTTACAACGCTTAAAGCTGGGGTCAAACCTTAAAAAATGTTTGTATCACATCAAAACTAGGACATCTAAACAGCAAATAATGTAAAAAATAAGTATAATTACGTGGCATACAAATTCAGTGAAAGGACAATAAAAATAGTCACTGACGCGTGAGAGGGTAGGGTATGTTTTAATAGCCAGAGAGGGAGTGCATGAAGGATTTCATATTCTACAGAAGGGAGACAAGACAAGGTTTTTTCTTTCTGAGGCAACTGTTAAGCTACATCGGCAGGCAAGTGCAACTATAGCCGGTTCATAAGTTGGTTATCAACAACGGCTTGCGCAAAGAGGGTAAACCGCGAAAGCAGAGCAGCGGACTAGAGCTTCAAGTTACTGAGTTTTGAAAATCTCCTGCGGCGGTTTACCTACCTTTCCAACCCTGTAATTGATAATAGTTGTCATCACGCCAAGTACCGCAAGGATTGTTCTTGGGATCCCTCTTGGCTAAAAGGACCAGCCAAGCAATTGCCGCAGAATTATAGGACTAGATCATTCATCTGAAAGAACTGTGCACTCACGTGGACATAACAGATAAAAGATTAAGGAAAATTACTCTTGTTACAAATAGGTCATCAAAAGGAAATGAACTACGGATAAACTTAGTGTATTTGTACTCTGACAATGCTATCACACAAGGACACTTATAGGAACGCTTGTTGGCAGAGAGACGCCTATCAACAAAAACAAATTCAAGAGGGCGCATTATTGAATCATCACTAAAACTACTGCTACTCCCCCTCCCCCCTGGATGGGATGCTAGTACATCGTAGGTTACACCCTCCCCACCCACACAATCTACAGGTTTCCCTGACAGTTCCGATCGTTTATCACAAAGGCAACCCAAGCTCGCACAATGAGACTACTATGTTGCGCAATGGGCGAAACAGGTGTTGTGTGGGAAATGGCTGCGCAAGCAGCCGCTATGAAATCCTTTCCTATCCTAAATCTGCCCAGAAACATCACGACACCTAAGAAACTACTTCAGATTTTCTGGTTGAGAGTTGGACTATTTTTCATTGTACAAATCCTTACAGTTCCCCCATTTGCACAACGTAAAAACGTTTGCATAGATAGTTACGGAGGCTCATTGGGCGAGCTTGGGCTGCCTGTGGTTCGCATAAGTATGCCTGAACGGCGACCCTACGTGGATTAAACATCTCATCCAAATCTCTTCCCCAAGAACAACACGGAGGACATATCATCTCTCCTCTAAAAAGTTTCACCTTTTATTTATTTGGACTGAGAAAGATTCTACAATTCCGAGCAAAATTTGTCTGTAAAAAGAGAGTGCAAGGATTCTCCCACGCAATTCAAGCCTTAAATTTCACGACACAACTGTATTGATGATTTTATAGAATGGTGTGTGAATAACATCAACATATAAATATACTTTTCCTCCACGAACAACATCTTCCGTAAAGATCGCAAATATATTTTCCTCAACCTCTTATGCACAATGTCTACTCTTCATTCAGTACTTATTTTCACAAGACACATTCATAGTTTAGTTTACAGTTACATCCGCAGTTGTTTTCATTTTCTTTTTACCCTTTCTCTGACGTTATCCTCGGTTTTCACACGGGCGCAGTTCTGCAAGCTTTGCTCCTTCTCCTCTCTCGCGTCTAATCGACTCACAAAATCAATTTTCATGCAACGAATGAGATTCATTGTCTTACATCTTGCAGTGCCTAGGCAAAACATTGGATTCCTACGTTAACAAGTGAACGAAGAACCTTTTTGTGCGCGAACTATTTGCAGAGGGAACTACGAGACAAAGCTGCAAACGAGACTTCACTGACAAGAAGTGACTTTCCCAGCATCGAATTAGCTGTTAAATGAACGTGTTAAAATAAATACATGAATGGCTTTCAATCCTGATATCCAAGGCTATGTCAATCACTCCTGGTCTCAAGGGCAAAGTCAATCAAAAGCGCCACAAATTGGATTTTCTTTCAAGGAAAGTTTTCTTCAAAAAGAAATCGAATCTGCGTTTACTGATTCTTACATTCCTGTGGTTTGTCACCGTCCTGAAAAAAATAACAAGACTTTTACTGCTGAAGAAACGGTCAACTCTTATCAAGCATGTACTGCAAAAAGAAAAGCAGAACTATATTACTCCTAATTGCGCACTGCAGATGTTCTGGAAAATGCGCACCACCCTCCCGACTAATCAGATACAATTAAGTAAATAAACGAACACTCCGGTGAGCAGAAGTGTTCCCTCTATACGTGCTCGACGAGTACTCAGCGGCTGCCGATGGTCAGCAAGATAGCTGTGCCTTAACCCTTTCACTTCCAAGCTCTCACTACTAATTCTCCTTACTGTCTGCCATATTATTCTTATGATGTTACTCCAGAGAATTTGGAATGGGATCAACTAATAATTGCCTATTTGATATTTGTCTTAATTCTCCTCACTTGTCTGCTTGATATTGTAATAATAATGTAAGGAGAAATTCTGTCTTGGTCCCTCATGGGTGTTACAGGGTAAAGGCATAACGCGTAACGCAAACATGGCTAAGCAGACGGAGCTGAGAGGTGTCACAGGCGGCACGAAACCAACGGTAACTGGCTATTATTGAAATCCTTGAGTATTGCTAATCACTTAACTTACCGGGGGTGGTTGGTAATCGGGGTCGCTATCTTCCTCTTCATCACCCTCCCCTTCCTAATGAACCAAAACAACAACAAAAGTCATACACGTTGAAAAGCAAACTCTAAAGGGGCACTGTTGTCAAACAAAAAGGATGGGGTGGGAGGGGTGGCGGGGGGGCTTTCACACGCATATCACAGTAGTTATCACCACTGAGAGGAAAACTGCAGTGATTACCGCCGTCAAAGATAACAGAATACTGTTTCGTAGGCAGCGACTACTACAACTATATTGGCAACTCCAGAGAAACATGATGTGTAACGTACACACATCATTTTCTTTTCATGAAAACTCTTTACTATAAATCATTTTCATCTCCATTTCCCTGACTCCGGAAGTCGACCATCTGGAGTATAGAGTAAACCATAAACATACCTCGTCATCTTCACCTTCATCCTCTTCTTCTTCAAACTGAGAAAAAAAAAGGAATGATTAAAGAAAGACAGTGATAATTTGTCACTTTTCCACTTGATATTGTATCGATATTGAAAAGAGAAATTCTATCTTGGTCACTCCCGGGGTTGTAGGCTGGGTTCACTAAAGACACGCCGTTAATAAGATAAAAAAATAAATTCCTCATATCTGATTGCTGGGTGATATAACGATGAAGGTATGTAAACCACTTTTGTAATTTGAAGGGCTAACTAACCTCCTCTTCGAGGGCTTCTCCAGTAAAATACAGAACAGCCTGAAACAGAAAGAGAGAAGAAGTCACTGGTCAACAAACTAGTTAGTAATTTCAAATCATTTGCTAGGATACATGTGGGTTGAGATCTAACCAATCACTAAGCTGTCAACAATAACAAAAACATGACACAAAAACAAAAACAAAAAACTCGAGAGCCTTGATCACTTTTCAGATTTGAAAATTAAAAACAAAAGCAATAAGAGACCTAAACTGGCTCTTACTGATTCACACACCTTTGGAATTATTCTTTCTCTGAAAAAATGACCAATTTCAAAGTCAGCTGATAAGAGGGCCTCTGTTTCCTCATCCTGAAACAACAATCCAATACATTATTTATTGGTTATAAATTCTGAACTAGAACTGAATCCAAGCACTTATCTGATGCAACAGTAATCAATTCTAAAATCTCTTGCTGGTGTTTGCAAAAAAATACAATCACCCAGTTAAGAAAGATTTCCAAACAGCATACATACCATATCTGCCTCATCCTCAGGAACTGGAAAAAAAGAAACGTTAAATAATGTAAGATCAAGAGTGTACTGAGTGCGATTTTCCGAACAAATGGGTTGGACGTAGAAAGTGAAAACACAATATCAAAGACATAAGATCAGGACACAGTTGTTCACTGGGAAGATAACACTATGTTATGGATAAATCGCTCTTCAGCGGATAAGTATAAACTAAGTGTTCTGTGCTATCCACTGGCGAGAGAGTTAATATTATCAACCCTTTCAACAACTGGAACCAGATTACAAGATGTCAGATACAGAGGTGTGGAAGTCAAGCCTTGGCTGGCTTCAACACTGGTGTTTTAGGTCACAGGTCAAGGTGCTTTGGAGATCTTTCAAACTCTTCCAATTTTTTTTTCTCAAGTTTTTTTTGTCACAGCAAGACAAAAATAACCCAACATTAGCCCAAACATGCTTTGAAACAAGAGAAATCAGCCTCAAACTTTACTCAAATGATGGATTACTACAAATGGTCATTATTTGAACTACCAATCCCTGGTTTATATCACAAGAACATTACTAACCTTCTGGTGGGGAGAAGAAGTTAAAGAAAGAGTCATTTTTTATTGTTTTGCTGACAAATCTTGTTTGTCCTCTGCCACCAGAGCCTAAATAAAGAACAAAAATGTCTTGTTTCACCAAATCTATCAGGGATTTAAAGAACAGCAACCTGCAAAGTCATAAGACCCACCCTTTTTCTTTTGCTTTTTCTTTACAACTTTCTGTGTTACATTCTTGCCTTTCTTCCAGTCAATATTGCAGCTAAAAAAAGCAAAAAATTGTTCATTAAAATTGTATCAGCATAACAAAGCATATAGGATAAGCAAGAGGTTCAAAAAACAAGCTTTATTGCAGAAAATTAGCCGTTAACCATCCAACCCCTAAGAATGATACACATCTAATTTCTCCTCACAATGTCACCCAAGAATCACACATTATGGAAGAATGGAAATGATCAGCAGCTTTTTTAAAGAAGCTCTTGATTGTTGAACAAATTCTCCTCATTAGCACCAAAACATGTCTAAAGAACAGTGAGGAGAAGTTGCTTATTGATGTTACAGTTTGAAGGGTTGATTCACTGCACAATGGAACGTGCAAAATCTGTAGATAACCCTCTAAAAGAACATACATCATTCAGTACACCTTTAAATAAGATAACAATGATAAAAAAATTACCCAGATGTGCTGATGATTTCTGGCCCCTCAAAAGAAAATGGATCTTCCTCATCTGGCTCACATTTCATTTTATAACTCTTGGTTAAGACCTAAAAACAAGCCATTTTTTTTAAACAAAAATATTTTGTCGCCTCTATCTTCCTACACTAAAATGATCTGCTTTGGTCATGTGGATTACATTTCAGAGCCACAGTGCATCTAGCTTTGTAAGGCATGAAACATTATGTACCTTGAAGACAATTTTTATTGTTAGGAAACCTGTAGAGAACAGTAAAGAGGACAAGCTTGCTGATGCTAGGTCATAAAGGATTAACTTTGACCAGCTCTCTATATATACATTTTGGAACCAATGGGACCATATAAAGCAAAGGTTTAGCATTTTTTTTTTTTTCATTTAGGCATTTTGCATTTGTCATAACACTATTGAAACCAGGGGTAAATATGTAAAAATAGTTTGAAGTGTCTTAACTTACAGTATTTGTAAAATAAGGGTTTGGTGAGAAGTGGAATTCCAGCACAAAGCCCTGAAAAAAGAAAAACATAACAGCACTGTGTAAGCAGAGGAAAACAATTTAAAAATTCTTTGTGATTAATGCAGGCAAAATTGACTTCATTATCAGCACTTATATCAGCATGATTAAAGATTTCTCCAAATGAATACAAACCATTGGTGTAGGTTGAGGATACTGCGTTGTGTCAACATTACTGTCTGGCCCAGTAAAAATGACTCTGATATCAAGGAGATGCTTCAAAATTGGTTCATCGTGTTCCTAAGTGATATACATAAAAACACATTTCATTTTCAACTGAAACAGCATTATACAATTTCACTTTTCAACACAATTGAATTACTGTACAGTACCTTGACAAATACTTAACTGAGCAAGTGAACAAGTGCTCATTGTCAAATTATTGTTTGGTAGGTTGACTCTGAGGTCTAATCACATGCTGAAATTTTTACTTTAAAATCCTGCCTTAAATCAGTTTCAAAAAATAAGGCTTTTTGAATCTTGAACGGGTCAAATATTCTCCACAAGTAGCTTAGCTGCCAGTTTTGATTTTTTAATGACTGACTCAGATGCAGACCCAAGCTTTTTTTTTTTTACTATCTATGCTGTTAACACAATAAAAATACAATATTTACCATTAATAATGGGTTGCAAAACTAAGTTCACCTGTATCATGTCAGCTAACAAATCCACATTCTTCATTGCTGTCAACCAAAACTCTGGTATACCTTTGACATCATCTATGATGAGAAAGATTGATCACTAAGCTAATTTCTACAGTCTGTTAACAAAACATGACAAAACAAAAAGAAAAAAAAGCTCTCATTTCTAACTAAAGAGAAAAAGCTAAACCTGCCTGTTAGTTCTGAACTCTCGAGCTTCTCTTCCTCCTCTATTTTCACTTTTTCTTTCACTTCACCCTGAATGGGAGAGAAGGAAAGAAAGATTTTTATTAATCTAAAATCTGCTCCACCCATAAAGAATTTCTTTGCGATAGCGTGTTGATACTTCCCAACATTTTCTCTTTCCAGAAGTCTGAAATAAAAATAGAAGCTCTGTCCCAAACAGAAACGATTCCTCGAAAATTGAGTTGCACATTATGAGCCTTAAGAATAGTAATGTCACAATGATGGATTTTTACATGACTAATGATCAAATCTCTCAGCTTACAGTCAACTGTGTAACATCTTCCTCTTTTTTCTCATCTTTGTCCTCATTATCATCATCTTCCTCATCACTTGGCCATTGGCATTCCTCCTCTGTAGGTTCAACTTGCCCATTGACAATGTTGCGACGCTATCATCCATAGGTAAAGAGATAAAAAAATTATATCATCAATCCTTTTCTTGTACAATACAAGAACATTTTCAACACAAGTCATGCTAACCTCTAACCCTAAGCTGAAAGTTCTTGTGCATGTTTATCACAGAATACCACTAGTCAATCCTCCTTTTAACCCTTTATATACCCTGCTATCCCCATACATATTCTCCGTAATGTTTTCCATATATTTCCTATGGTAATGTCAAGGAGAATTTGATAGCAATCATGAGCTTCTTTAGTTGGTGATCATTTCCATTACTCTTGTGACTTTAATCTTTGATTCAGGGGTGATATTGCAAGGAGAAATTTTAGATGCAAGGCATTCACACAGGTAATAGTAATAGTAATCAAAGTTTAATGTCTTTACGTGGGGCATGGTTACCCATATTGCCTGAGCCAGAGGCTCGTGTATGAAATGCAACACAACAAGCCACCCATCCCACCCCAGAGGAGGACATCCATCACACAGTAATCTCGTGCTTGGGAAATTAACGTCTCCAACCCCTAACCCTGCAGGAGACGGGACCTCCATTTATTCGTCCCTATCGGAGAAGACAAGAATATCTAAACCATTTCTTGATGTTATAGAAAGGCAGCATATTCTACTCAATTATTTTAAGGCCTTGAGCATTGGTACGGCCAGGGCTCGAACCCTCGACCTCCCGCACATCAGTCCAGTGCTCTATCCATTGAGCTAACCAGGAGGCGTCAGGTCAAAAAGTTAAGGCTTGAACTGGTATATTTTAGTAAGTTAGTGATCCGATATTCCCAAAGCACTGAGATCAGAGGAGTATCCAGGTGAAAAAAAAAAAACAAGAGTTAGCAATGATGAAAGAAAGAATTAATGAAAAACAACCAAGGCTTTTCAGAAAATTTTCATCAAACAATGTTAAAGTGCATAAAAAAGCTTTTCCCCAGGAACAGATTCAATTCCATTGCAAGATACCCCAGGGCATTTTTAAGTCCCCTGAGATTTTTCCTAGTGCCTGGGTTGAGAACAGGAATGGGAAAGTAAATAATCTATCTTTAAATTCTAGATGCAGACAACATAAACTGGGCTGGGGGAATTATGCACCGATGCAAAAGCGCATATTATAATTTCAGCTCAAATGCATAATCCTGTAAAAAGTGCATAATTTCTGTATAATTCTTGATATTTACAAAAAAATATGTCCTCAAAGACAAATTTTCCTACCTTCAAAACTTTTTAAAATAGTTTTTCCAAATTGTAGTGAATTGTGATGGAAAAAACTGTATTCTTAATTGAAAAGATCGTGTCAAACACGCAGGAAAACAAGTAAAATCGAACAGGCCTCTTGTCTTTTGCTGCTGGAGACCTGGACTCTAATTGTTGACTTACAAGCAATATGATTGGTGGAAAAAGAACCAATCAATGCTTCTGAAAGAAAACTGGCGCCATTTTGGTAAATTTACTCCAGAAACTTTCTTTTCTGTTCTTTTTGTGTTTAAAATGGAAAGTTTTTTCAAACCAAAGTAAAAAAAATTACAATATAACGGCCAATGAGAGAGGTAAGCAATATCCTGGCAAATAATTATTAATTAGGTTTTCTTAATATGGACTTACATATAAATTTAAAATATATGTAAAATTTAATACTTTTAATGTTGTGCAACTTGCATAATTTGCTAAATTTGGCGCATAATCACAGAAAAAATGGTGCATAATTTCTCATAAAATAGTGCATAATTCCCCCAGCCCTGTATAAATTATTGCAAACAAAACATAATACTGGCTCACCTTTTCAAACAATGGTTTGAACTTTTCTGCAAATTCACATTCAAGGGCATGTACCCTCTCATAAAATAGCCCTTCCACTTTGCAACATTCAACCTGGAATACACAGAAAAAAAAAAAAAAAACCAGATGGCAAAAATAAAAAGTTGAGGTGAGAAGAGGGACAAGTGACCAAATACACAACACAATTGTAGACTGAAATTGTTTATCTATAGATACACTCTAAGAGAAATCAAAGAAACTGACCTGTAAATTTTTTAAAGCCTTTAATCTTCGTTTCACTGGTTTAGGGAGACTTAAAAGTAATGACAAAATAATGCTGTTAAAAACATAACCAATGCACAAAGTAAAAGTAATACTCAAGTGACTAATCATGAAGAACTTAGCCTTCGTAAAAAATCCAAAACGGCTGTATGGGTGTTTAACCCTTGATCTCTATGAGTGACTAGCATCTAATTTCTCCTCACATTAATACAGCTGAATTATTCAATAAGATCAAGAGAATAAAGGAAATGATCACCAACTTAAGAAGTTTTGATCATGAAACAAATTCTCCATGTCAGTGACAAAGAAATTAAAAATAGAGAAGAGAATGGAAAATATCGATACTGATATTAGGATGCAAAGGGTAAATACTAAATTTTTGAGAACCCTTACAAGGATTGATTTCAACAAAACACTTGATTCCAAAAAAAAAATTTTCATTGTTTTGTTGGTAGTCTAAACATAAAATGGATGACATAGTAATACCTTTGAATGTAACCAGACTGTGTTCCAACTATTCGGCTAAGGCCTCCCTGGAAAAAAATTTTAAAAAACTTAAAAATGTGCTTGTCGTTTTACTCACATACCCTGGACATCATTTCTATTTGGTTTAAGAGAAAGCTCTACCATCTGTCATGAAAACCTATGTATGAAAATTAAATATCCTTATTTGAAAGTTGAACATAATACATGCCATAGGAAAATCTCCCAATATATCCAATATATGCATTACTGGATTTACTATTTATTTAGTTATTACGGGTATTTATGATTCCTGTGGCCAAGATATAGGAAAAAGGCCTTACAATTTTATCAAATGATAATTTCATATCTTAACACAAACCTGAAGTGCTGCCAGGAGTTGAGGATTTTGCATAAGTTGAATTGCAGTGTCATCTAAAAACAAATAGAACATGGCTCACCAAAGTTTTTTAATTACAGTAAATGTTCATATAAAAAATAGGTTACATCCACACACGAGACTAATATGGATAACTACAAGAACTTGTGGCTGGTTTCTTTAGCATTATCCTTTGACTTTTACGAGTGAGCAGTATTTTATTTCTCCCTACAGTGTGCTACAGCTGAGTCACACCAGAATAAAGGAAACCATCAACAACTAAAGAAGTTCTTGATTGTTAAAGAAATTCTCCTTTTCAGCACCTAAGGAAATGTAAAGGGAACAGAATGGAGAATATGCATACTGATCTTATGGTGTAAAGGGAAAAGCAACTTGGGAAATTTCTTCTCCTTCTGAATGGGATGCTATTCTCTAACAAGTAGCCCATTAAACAGTGTTTCCCAGAAAACAGACTAGTACCCAATTAAGGTTGGTTTTCTCTGGCAAAGTCACAGTCATAGCAACACTTCCAACCTGGTGAGAATAGAAAATCCTATTAATGAGCTCCACAGAATTGGAGTTGGAAGAGCAATCTCATTTTCTTCCATTTTGCTTGTGACTTATGATCCAGGGAAAACTAGATTGTCAGAGATGCAAGTGGAAATGGAACAAACAATCAATCAAAAGCCAGTTTTCAGGCATTTTGATTGATTTATTCTTCAGCTCCTTCTTCTAACTCCAGTAATCCAGTTCTCATTGGATCATAGGTAATGCAGTCCAAAACAGAATCAACATTTTTCTCTGATTTCGTTGATTTGTTTTCATTATATTGAATTACTTTATTCTGCTTCCTATTACGACTGTCTGTAACTGCCACCTTCTCAAAGGTGAAAACCAGCCTTTACAATTGTGGTTGATGGTGAATGGTCTTTCAAAAGAACTCACAGCACAACTCAAACCAAGTCTTACACCTTGATTGTTTTCATAAAAGTGCTGTACTCTGACTAATATTTACTTACTTGGAGGAGAACTGCCCATCTGATCTCCTTCACTGCCCGACAGATCTTCTTGAGCAGGATCAGACATTATGGAACTGTCAATCAATAATCAGTTGTTCAATTCATCTGTCCACATCAGTCAATCCATCAATCAATTAATGGGCCAACCCACCAAACAGTCAATCCACCATTCACTTTATTACACATCACAGAGAGTCAGCTAATCTGTTTGATACAGTTTCTTTCATACAAGCTTCTCGTCTAGTTAATTCTTCCAATACAATTTTCAAAGCAAATCACACATTATAGGTGGTTTGGGGAACTAACACACCGAATTGTTTCGTGATTAAAGTTCAGATCCGTAATTTGTTGTTTACTCAAACCTCTACCTGAGCTTGTGTAACCTATCAAGATTACGCGACAATTATCAAATTGTTTTCTATGAAATGAAACAGTTGTGTTTCTCCTCGCTAATCGTCAAAAATAGATATGATTGCACAATGCAAAAACAAAAAAATTGCTTCCCCCAACTTAATTTTAAGGCAAATAAACCCATCCTTGTTTAAGAGCTAATAACAAAAAATTTTCAGCAATTCGGATAGAATATAAAGGTGTCTGTACGTATCAGCTTGCGTTGTAATCAAATGTAAACTTTACTTAAATGGCAATGACTTGAATATACATTCGTGAACTGAACACATACAAAAACCTGAATTCAATTCAGAGAGCAGGTTCCATATTTTTACGAGAAGAAAAGTACAAATTATAATTAAGACTTCACCAACACATCTTAATTCCCACAGCTTTGAGAGCAACCTTGTTATTTTTAAAAAAATTTAGCTTTTTTGAACAAAATTTTTCCTTTTTGGACTGACACGTTGTTAAGTAAGTATTGCAGCTACTATAAAGACTCACCTTCGAAGGGTTTAGATTTTTGTAATGAAATTTTCGCCCGGTTTTTGCAAAGTAATCCTTGCAAACCACGAGGTTGAGAAATATCCCGCGCCAGCGATAAGCCAGCGCTGAAAATGGCACAAAAATACTGGGGAAGAGTGTTGTGGGCGGACAGCGGGATTAAACCCGCGGGTAAGAACGAGTGAAGTGACAAATTTTTTTTTTGTGCGTGCGACAGAGAAATCAAGTCAAAAATTTTCAGCATGCTTGATCAAAGGGAAATTTTCAGACGATGGCAAGTGACCTGTTGACAAGGGTGATGAAGTAAATAAATATAAATATATCGTTCGTTTCGTGACTTCGCCCACGCCCGCCCTTGGCTGAGCAGGGTGCACTTCTCATTATAGTCTGAAGTGTTTGATAATGAACGTTGTCGATGACGATGAGTCACTGGGACCAGTGGGGGTGGGAGGGCATGAACCCAAAACAGATAAAACTTGGGGTGATTATGGTTTACTAACTTACGAATTTTTTCAAGATCATCACAACCTCTGGAGCTTTGTAAAGGATTCCACTCTCCAGAAAATTTATTTGATGAAACTCACCTGATTGTCAGCATCCGTTTTAAGTTTAACTCGTGAAAGTCTTCGAGTTTCACGTGCAAACATTTTTCTATCCCTCCCCTCCCTCTTATCCCCTCCTCTGTTCACACCCCTGAATTGATGTATTCATTATCCGGGTCATCCGATTTGCAGAAGCCAATGATAAACGTAGTTTCTCAGATAAAGTTGTCAAACAACATCTGCGAACGATCTGAGACTTTTGCGTGTTGTTGTCAGGTGTTTTCTACATAACCACGTAACTGAGCGGACTTGGATTTGTGGACTGGTCTGTCAGCAGAGAGAGGTAGGCCTTTGATATTTTCCCGTTTTGCGTTCATAACGTGGTTTCTAAAAGGCAAAATACAGTTCAGAGCCGTTAAAGCAAGGTGTAAAACTGAATACTATGCGGTAGATCACGTTCGTTTGCAGGTGTGGAATCTTTGATCACTCTTTATTGAGCACGATGGATTAAATTTGAGATCAGTTATGGACTTTAACTCCAATAGACAGGCATAGGCACGAATATTTATTCGCTTCATTCGGAGAGAGATGTTAGCGTTTACATCCGAGGATGTCAAGTTTAAAGCTGATGTAGTTGAGAAATCACTCTAAGCACGCCTTGACAACTTGTATGTTATTTATTTTTGTCTTTGTATAAACTGTGTTTAGTAGTTGTCGCTTTTCTCCTTCTCTAAAGCTGGCAAATGTGCAGAGAATGCTTTTGTCATTTTTGTCGTTTTTGTTGAAAAAAATATATAAATTGCGGTAGAGACAGTTCTGTTAAGCCGACTTTTTGTACTATGAGTCACACCTACCTTGCCTCCAGTCACGTACATTATATGACTCTAGAGGGTTATAGGATAAACATGCCATGCATTCTTACTGAAACCATGACTCGGAATATGATGAAAATGAACAGTTTTACACAATAAGTCTGAGGGTTCCCGGTAAGATTAAAGAAATTTACTAGACTTCTTGTCTGTGGTATGCTAATTACTGGCAAGTGTAAATAGTCTGTGTATTGCCTAAGTTCTATTTCCGTCGATGGGCCCATAAACAGGTCGAATTAACGGCTCTACAGCCGCAGAAAGAACAAAGATCTCCAGTTTGATTTTAAAATAGCAAATACAAAATATAGCAACAGATGTGTAGTTGTATATTTAAATATATGTATGTTTATATAAAAACAAATGTGAAAGAAGGAAATTACTAGTAATAATTTCCTTCTTTCACATTTGTATTTTGCTCGGCACATTTCTGCAGCGAGCACTCCAAGGATAAGTGAAACAACTTTATCTATTGTTTATTCGTTTATATATTTATATGAATATATTCATTTCCTCTTCAATGAGTTCGATGAGGAAAATTCTGGCAAATTCAAATGCAATTGGCATATTTTTCTTTGTTTTTGCAAATATTGATCTTCTCAGTTAACTGAATTGGAATGAATTGGCTTGAATTGCATAAACAAAGGAATGTGAGATAGACCACAATTTCTCTATTTGCTCCGACGAAGGGCTAACACTTGAAACGTCAGCTTTTGTAATCGTTACAGTGGCCAATTTACCATTTCAACTTTGTTGATATATCCAAATTATTTCGTTACCCCCACTGACGCAGCCCCAAACAGTTTCTTTAGAAACTATCAGCCTTTATTTTTTCGAAAGATGTTTGTTGGTCTAGTCACAAGCATGCAACAAAATATTCTGAATCCCCATGAGGAATCAAACCTCAGACCTCTAGATTCTGCAATACCATTGAGCCATAGAGACTCTATGGTGAGCAAGGCCCATTACAAAGTTCATATTTGACGTGTCCTGCATACTGTTGGGATCTGCAATGTCATGTCTTGTAAAGAATAAAAGAGATAAAAATATTTTTTTCTTTAAAAATTGCCAAAGATGTTTTTGCTCTCATGTATCTGAATTTAATTTTGTGAATCTCACACATGATAAAGTTGAAATTGCTGAATTCAAACTTCAATTTCGCTTGAAGACTTCTTTAGACTTTTCACTGTCTTTGCATCTTCTCTGTACTGGTTAGCAGGGGACGTTCAAGAACCCACCCACTTCCTGCAAAGGGTAGGGAAGGTAGCTCCTGGCGTTTTTGGTCTGGCCTTGTCATTGATTATACAGGCTCCCATTTAAATCAGTTCAGCTTTGTGCTAAACTGGACCAGCCTGTCATTAAAAACATTGCAAACACATACATGCATAGATTATAATAGGAAACAAAGGTAATTAGAGAGGATGATAATTTTATGATACTATTTCATAGGGTGTGTTTTCACAAGAACAAGTTTGACCAGTTGAAGTTGGAAAAGTCCAGAAGTACAGTGAAAACAGCTTGTCCTAAGTTTAGGGAGTTAAAAATGCAAGCTGTTTTCACAAGAAAAAATGGGATAATATCTTGCCTTTATGACCAGAAACTCCTGCAAAGTTATACTACTTCGCAAGATAAATGATAAATGCTGCAACCAAGCAAATTGCCCGGACTTGACAGATGCCTGCCAAACCATGAACTGGCAAATATTTTCCAGACACTCACACTCACCTTGTAGTTCACTTAGCAAACAATGCTTTCAAAATGGCAGACAAAGTCACTTGTAATACTTTCCCATTCTGATTTACAATTCCTCTGGCCTCATTAGATCCCCGAGTTCCTTGGCCAGGCCCTTACCACAGGCCGTCCAAGCTCTCTTTGAGAACCACACGAGGAACACAATTTGCATATTGATTTATAAGGATTTGTATGGGATTTTCTACAAGATATCCAGAGATAGTTAAAAGTGAAAATATTAAATAAAAATGGCTTACCTTATTCCATAGGTGTGTTGCTTGCTCCTAGTGTCGTTATTTTACCGATTTCACTTGATTTAAGCAGTTTTTTTTTTTAATCCTGGTTTTCTCTTCTTAAAGAGAAGACAAGGCTGAACACTTCTGTCCAGACAGCCCCCTGAACGAAGTAAAAAGTCCCAAGCTAAAATGTACCCACGGCCACAAATCCACCACAGAATTCAAGGGCAAAGGTTGACCTTTCATCTCGATTCTCTAGCCACACAATCTCAGCCCTGCGATCAACACCAGGTGGCTCTTTGTGTCCTCAGTGAAATGTTAAAATGCTTGTAGACATCCGAGTCATTTGTAAACACAACACAACGACCATTGAAATCGGCTTGGTAACCTCGTCATGTTGGCAAACCAAGACTCACGGGGGTATTAGACCTGAGGGGATCCCGGGTTTTACAAGAAGTTTTGTTGACAAGTTGAGGTCTAGTACCCCGTGAGTCTTTTTCGGGAGGCTGTCTGGACAGAAGTGTTTGACCTTGTCTTCTCTTTAAGAAGAGAAAACCAGGATTAAAAAAAAAACTGCTTAAATCAAGTGAAATTGTTAAAATAACGACACCAGGAGCAAGCAACACACGTATGGAATAAGATAACCCATTTTATTTAATATTTTCACTTTTAACTATCTCTATGGATATCTTGTAGAAAATCCCATACAAATCCTTATAAATCGATATGCAAATTGTGTTGCTTGTGTGGTTCTCAAAGAGAGCTTGGTCCGCCTGTGCCCTTACTTATTTCACAGTGGCAGCATGCAGAACCCGCAGTACCTGCTTTTGAGCACAAATGCTCAACAATCTGATGCATCCTCTCCATTAATCAAGACAATAGTCGCATCCTCTGAAGAAACGGCAGCTCCTTTGGAGAAATATGGGGAGAATCGATTCGAGAGAAGTTGTTGAAAATGCTTCGTTTCCTGCCATTTTTTTCAAAGTTACCTGCTTCGGTAATTTGAATCTTCTGAGTAAACAGCTTAAATTTCATGGTGAAAACAGATGTTAATTTTATCTAGTAAATGTTGGTCTGTAAACAAACAGTTAGAAATAATGTTCAGCTAGAAAATTCTGCCTTAATGACCTCCCAAATCACATAAAAGCCATTTTTGTCATTCTGTTTTGTGTTGTCAGCACCTAACCTGTCAATACATGTTACTGGCTAACATCATTCAATGACATTCCTAACAGTGACCAGTTTGTTAAATGCAAATGCCTGCCTAAACATATTTTTCAGGACAAATCATTGTTTTTCCATGGTCTCCATGGTCTGGAAAGTGGCAGCTACCAGTAATTTTTTTTTTTGCAGATAGACAAAAGCTAATTGTAACATATTGTGTAACTTATATTTAGGAATCTGGGCATTAAATGCTCTTCACTGAATACCAAACATTGGTAATAGATGTATTTTTTCCTGAGAATATTGAGTTTAAAATTTTAAATCAAAACTAACACAGTTGCATTCTTACAAATTTTAAGTATATTAGTTTATGAATTTTGTCAAGAAAAGTTGTTCTTTGATGAATCTTGCAAGTGAAGGGTTGAGGAAAGAATGCAAATAAATTAACTAAACATTTTTGTGGGTGACGGTTGTTTCTAGAGCTTGGGTGGGGTTGCTAACTAACAAAATACAAAGACAACATTGCTTAATTTAGGCTCCATATCAGTTCAAAAGTGGTTTCTTAGAGTTTTCTAGTCAGGATGTGAACAGTATTGGTTTGTCATTAGCAACAAACAGTCAAATATTTATCTTTATTGAAATAGTTATAAAAGTGAATGCTACAAAGAGTTCTGACTCATTTTTTTATTTCAGAAATAAAGAAGAACATGGGAGTAGAAGGAGGTGCTAAAATCCTTAAATTTTTGGTTTTCTTTTTCAACTTCATTTTCTTTGTGAGTATAAAGCTCTTGTAGTCTATAGATCGAAAAACTTGATTGATTAATTATGAACTGTTGTTTCATCAGTACAGTGTTTGAGTTAAAGCTTGTGTTATTATTATTAGCACTGTAATGAATCTAATACCAAGTCTTAACTGAATTATTTTTTGCAATCTACAGTGTATGTTAATCATTTTTATCCCTCACTTAATCATATTGTGTCTTTATTTCTCTTAGAGCTTTAAAAAAAAAAACATTTTCATATTAAGTCTGTGACAGAGTTTTGATTAGTACACTTGTGAAAAGGAAATTGGGACTTGATTAATAATAATAAAAAAGCCAACAGCCATTCTAGAAAATTAACAAACTCTTTAGCTCCCAAGATCTGATTGTGAATTCTTCCTACTAGCTACTACATATTTTTGTTGTAGACTAGTCCAGGGGCGTAGCCAGGATTTTTCAAAGGGGGGTCACAAAGGCTACTTACCATTTACACTGCTGCTCTCCCGCGTGTATCAGTGGGCTCAGTCATATTATAGCGGCATGAAGGCCCATATCAATGGCTTTTACGGCCAAGATATTGTCATGGCGTTTTCGCCACCTTAATATTGTTGGTTGTTTGCTCTAAAGAAGACCGATCAAGAGGGGGTCACAGGCACCCCAGGATTCCCCCCTGGTTATGCCCTTGTAGTCTCAAGAATTTGGTTTTTTGATCAAGATAACTTCTGCCTTCAGGATAAGTTTCAATGTTCTCCTAACCTGTATGGTGGACAATAAATGGATGCTCTATGGAGAAGTTACATTTAATCACTTGAGGGACTTAATTTGTTAAGTTAAAGACCCTTGATTTCTTCCATAATGTAAAGCATTTGACCACAAGATCCTGTAGAGCTGTTAAATGATTTATAAAATTGTTTCCTTTGTTTCCTTCACAGGTTTTTGGCTGTGTGCTAATTGGGGTTGGAGCATGGGTTCTGGTTGACTCTGGCGACTATGTGACACTCTCTTCTACAGTGCCTTATGCAACCGGACCCAAGGTCTTGATTGCTGCAGGTGCACTCATTGCAGTTGTGGCATTCCTTGGATGCTGTGGAGCCTGGAAGGAGAACCGCTGTATGCTGGTTATTGTAAGTGATTACTTTAAAGCAAGGAAGTTCCCACGTCAAGATTGTAATTCAGTTTTTAGTCTAAATACAGTCATAGCCCAGTTATTACAAGCCGCTACTCACCAAAGTTCCTGGTTTAGATGGTGCTGAATTATGTACCAACTGAAGGTACTCTTGAATTAGCAGTAACCATCTTGTATTTTAAATTTGGATTCATAAGGCAGTACCATGATATGCCCTTTGTGTTACCAGAACCGTATTTTGTCTTTGGTTTCATTTCTTTTAAATTGACTTTTTTTATGATGATGGTCATCTGTTATAACCTTACGATCTCTTGTTTATGGTGTTGGGTGACAGCATCAAAGGAAAAGTAGGAAGTTGATTCAAATATTGTTAGGTAGGACACCCACCCATTTTTTTCAGGTAACCAGGTTTATTTAGGAAATAGATGGGTAAGCAGGGTACAGGGGAGGTACAGAGAGAAAAGTACTTGCCTTGTGCCTCTGTGGTCCAGATTGTTCAATTCCCAAACGTGATGTTGCTGGGTTGCATGTGGTCTGAATTTGATTGAATTTACTTCTTATCCTTGCTTTGAATAAGGCTTTTTAGATTTTCCTTCCTTCAATCTTGATCCAAACAGGAATCAGTGAATCAGTTGTCATTTATCAGTACAATTTCTTTTTATTATGCTGTCTAGGGAGAAAAGTGTCTGGGGACCAAGACTTATCAATGGTTGTTTTGATTGTTATTGGTGGGCATGGGTGTGGTGTTGATCTTGATGATAGGGGTGGTTAGGGGGTTGATGATGATACAGTGATGAGGATAATGATGGGAAAAAAAGTAAACCTCATTCATTAGTTAGACAAATATTTTTAACTTTTTTTCCCTTTTAGTTCTTTATTTGCCTTCTTGTGATCCTGGCCTTGGAGTTAGCTGCTGGAATATTGGGATATAAGAATCGTGACGAGGTTTGTTTACTTAAGAAACATTGTGTTTGCATGCTGCAAATTGACTTCGTTTTACTTTTATTTTTAATTAACAAAAAAAAAAACTGTTATTCCCAGGTCGAAGAAACTCTGGACAAAGATTTTATAGAGGAACTCCAACAGCACTACAATGAGTCAGGGAGTGAGGGCACCACTAAAGTAATTGATACACTGCAGAGAAAGGTCAGTAATTTACAACTTTAGAAACATAAGTATATCTTATTGACCAAGTGTGAGGGCCATACTGGGAGAATATCGGCCCAAGGTCTTGACAGTATGGACCGAGTGCCGATATTCTTCCAGTACAGTCCCGAGCAAGCTTGGTTAATAAGAGATTTATTATACGACTGAAGTTCAAAGGGACACGAGTGCGGTATCATTTGGGACCATTCAGGACAGTGCCCGGTCCAATACTGAGAGAATATTGACCTGCAATAGAGCATTTTGATTGGTTGATTTTAGTTGTTGGCCCTCTGACTGCCCAAGTCGTGTAATAAATTGAAGAATCCAACAAGATCTCCAAGAGGGCTCCTTGTGACCATTTCAGTTGTCTTTAGATACAGACTATTTTTTTTTTAATATTAGAGGCATTTTCAGTTGATGTTTGTTATAAACTACAATGAATTTACTATTAACAACATTCAGTCAGACAAAGCCGTGGGGTACACTTTACACGAAGCCTATTTATTACAACTCAAAGCCAACTACAAATTCTCAGAGGTGCAGGAAAAAGAGTGACCAGTTCATTCTTAATTTGTTGTTATTTGTCAGTTGTTGACAGGGTTTGATACTAACTTTTCAACTTAATAGCTAAGTGGCAAGTGACAACTTAAATGTTACAACAATTTCAGTTTGTTTACTAGCCAAACTGGTTGGTGGAAATAAAAAAACCACCAGCCAAAACTAAATTTCTATTAGTCTGTGGCTAGTTGGCTACCATTAGTGTCACGCTGTGATTGATGTGATGATACGAGTTCCCCTGGGGTAAAACAAAATCAGAGTTATCCTGAAATTATGCTGATAAAGCAGCATTAAACTGAATATTGCTGTCAAGTCTTTAAGCTTTCTTTTAAATGTATGCATTTTGTATTAATTCTTTTTTTCCTTGTTGTTACTGCAGGAGAAGTGTTGTGGCTGGTATAACCACACAGACTGGTATAGATCAAGGATTGGAGGCATTCATCATACCGTCCCAGACAGTTGCTGTAAAGAGGAAAAGGAAGGTTGTGGAGCCAAAAAGGACCTTTCCCTGCTGTATAAGGAGGTGAGCATGTGACTGTCATGAATACTTTGAAAGTCTGCAAACTCTAAAAACCCTTAAGTTATTTGCTTTACACAATAATCAAACAGAAGGGACACTCATAACACAGAATAACAAAGACATATAAATTGCACAAGTATAACATCTATACATGTACAAAGAGTGTCTGCATTTATACATTTTGAAGTGAGTTTGCGCACAAGGTAGATTATCTATGGTCTGAGCAGTACTGTAGTTGTGATAATCTTGTCTATCAAACATGCCAAGTGGTTTTTGGTGTTTGGAAGTGACCTTTTTATCACTACATTAATTGTTAGAAATCTAGGTGCCCCCCCTGAATTGCATTTAAGACCATAGCCAGGTAACCCATCTCTTCACTGGCCAACATGACATAAATTGTCCTGACAATTCCACAGTACCCTGTAAGTCATCAGTACACGACAGTCTCTCTTTCCCATCCTCCATTAGGTGGAGAGTCTGGACTGTTAGACTTAAGAGTATGGTAAAGAAGAAACCTTTATTAATTTACCTAATAAACGTAATTTACCAGGCTCACAACATGTGGCTTCTTAGCTTAGTTGGTAGTAACACCTAACTAGTATCTGGGATGCACAGGTTTGAATACCATTGTTCAGGCTTCTTTTCTGCAATTGCCACAATTGTTGTTCAGCTGCAAAAATGATTTGTTTGCTTGAGCCATGCTGCAAACCAACCCTTTGGATTGAGAGTCAATCATGCTGCTCGTTAAGTTTTGCAACATTTGTCTGTTTAACCTGTTTAGCCTGCTTAACCCAAACTTTGATTTAACAAACAAATTTTTAATGCTGTCAAATATCATGAGAAATGCTGAGCTTGTTGTATAATCTTCACAGGGTTGCAAGATGAAGCTGGTGGATTTGGTCAAAAACAAGTTGAAATATGTGGGTGCCATTGCTGTGGCTATCATTGTCGTACAGGTGAGATGAAATAAAGTGCACTTTGGTAATTGCTAAAGATTATGTCTGATTTTTGTTAATGGTTAGTCAGTATAAATCAGGTGTAGAGTTTTATATCATAACAGAGAAGGTTTCAGGCTCTGAGAATGATTTTTGTGGCTGATTGCAACTTTGACACTTTGGACAGAGGTCACCATCAGGATTTCGTGAAGATTTCTTCATCACTGGAAAATTTTTAAAATCTGGTTTATCGTAGAATGAGAAACTGAGTACATTCGAACCTTGATTATCCGGACTTGAAGGGACCAGACAAAATAGTCTGCATAATCTAGGGTCCAGATACCAGTAATCGAGAATATGAATATTAATGAGGAACAAAAAATGATTAAATCAAGAGAGAAACAAATTGTTTCTTTTTTCTCCTTTCTCTTATTGCAAAATTATACGTTGTTTATCTTTTGTCGAAAGAGTGGATTGCTAAGGCTTCAAGGACATGATGATCATGAATAAACATTTGTGACGCTGTGTAACTTGTTTATCTTGCACACCATGCCAAATGAGCCAATAGCGTGTTAAATCTCACATAACAACAAAGCAACCCTAAGCCAATCAGCAATCATACCTCATTTGACTGTTCTTCATTAGTTATGATGCGTGCAAGTGCTACTTTTGCTTTTTGAGAGTGAAACAAACTTGCCTTCATTTCACTTTTCAAGGCTGTAGTTTTAAAAAGAATATGGTTCATGACTAATAAATATTCATGACAAAATTGGGAACAGAGAAAAAGTTGGGATAATTGAGAAAGCTGGACAGTCAAGGTCCGGATAATCAAGGTTCAACTGTAATCAAGTGTTTTGTTTGGAAAACTCAAAGGAAGCATTGCCTAAGTTAAGTTGTGCACTGTTGCCAGTTGCTGGGTGTTGCTGGCATTTATAATGGAGAAGTTCTTTGGACTTTCTTTGTTGAGTAGCTTTCCAATGTCAGGTTTTCAGCGTAGTATATGTGCATTAAGAATCAAACCTTGCATGGAGTTTATTTAGCTTAATTCACATGCAATGTCATTGTTTGAATTGAAGTCTACATTTCATCTTGATCCGTTTTTCGTTGATCAATATTTTCTTTATACAGATTCTTGGAATGATTTTTGCTGCTGTTTTGATCTGCAAGATTGGTGACGGGTCAACTTATGCTTAAAACACACAATCCTGCCAATCTTCACTTTGAAGATAGAATATGCTGAACATAACCAATAAGTAAACTAGATTTGTGCTGTAGATTTCTTTATCTAACTTTTTGTATTTAACAGGGTTCAATTTTGGAGTCATTTTCCTATGACAATTTTCTTATTTGGAACAGTTTATTGGTTTGGCTTAAATAAAAAATTGTTGTTTTGTTTTTATTTTATTTTGTGGTTAATAAGATAGCCTACTTCATTTTCTGTTCTTCATTTCAACAAGCCCTCATTAAGAGTAGGTCTGGATTTCAAAGATAACCTTACACTTTCTCTTATGACTTTTAAGTAAGTCTGTGTAAGACTTTGCTATTTATCTTTCGTGCACACAAGCTTTAGTATATTTTTGCTTCTGGAGTATATTTTAAGTTACAGCTTTGCATTTTGTGATAGCTAGCCTAAGGATTCAGTTTCTTCACCTTGAGGTTAATTGTGTCGTCACTTCAGGATATCTATTTAAATTTTCTAATGGCTATAATCTTGTAAGAGTACAAAAAGCAGTTGGGTACAGTATAGAGTTGACACATTCATACCCTATTTTCTTGAATAAGGGCCCACATTCTGATAACTGCCCTTCCCTGAGAAATGAGCTGCCCTACAGTTCAGGCTAAAGTGTCAAACAAACACCTTCCTCACTTTCATTCAAACTAGGGATACAAGGAAGACCAGTTTACTTACAACTTTTTATGCTTCAACTACTTTGGAATCAATACTGGTTTGCTGAGTGAGTGTCCTCCTCCCATCTCAGCTGAAATTTTAAATTGACACCAAGGCAGTTATTTGAGTAAATATGGTATTTGGGAACACATCTGAATTTACACTGGCAACAAAAAACTAAGATTATAATTTTCTCTTTAAATTAAGGAAACAAATTTTGTGATGTTAGGGGATTTCTTGTGGATAATCATGTAATTCCTATACAGTACGTAGATGTTTTATACAGTAGCAAAGGGGTTTAAGTAGCTCAGTTGGGAAAAGGTCAAACATTTGTATCTTGACATCAACATCACTGCTGTAGTAAAATTGTTTGAGGTTTATCAACCTTATTGGACAACAAGAGTTATGTTTATTTTAAGATAGAGTATCAGATTACAAACTTGAGAGAGCTCAAATTATTTGAATATGCCATTTTGGTGAATGACGACTGGAAATTCTGGAGGGTGTCGTGGGTCCCTTACCCCCGCAATGCCCATTAAAGGACATGCTCTCGATACTTTTCTATGAACTGGCAATACCCTACTTTGAGCTGTTGACCAGACGGTCAGTACAAAATGCAGATTAGGTCTTGGTCCACAAAAATGCAAAGAAAACTCGCCTAATATCCAACTGTCTTGACGTCACGCTTGGCTGGTAACGCATTTATACTGCGCGCCCTTGAAAATAATTTTTCCACTACGTTTTTGGACTGGCTCGTTGTAATTAAGTGTTGCAGCTACTAAATAGGCTCACCTGTGAAGGGTTTAGATTTTTGTGATGAATTTTTCGCCCGGCTTTTGCAAACCTTTGTAAATCACGTGCATGGGGTGGAGAAATATTCCGCGCCATCGATAAGCCAGCGCGGAAAGTGGCATAAAAATACTGGGGACGAGTGCAATCTCGAGCCACGGGTCGATTTGGCTGTGTCAGCGGTATCGTAGTTATATTTGGGTTAGATATGGGAAATAATGTCCACAACGCACATTATATCCACAATACATATTACATCCGGTCCTATAACTTACATATAATCTAAATACACAGTACAAGCAACAGTAGGGCTATACAGAGTTATACAAAGCTAAACAGAGCTATATACAGCTATACACAGCTCAACGGGGCTTTACTCCGCTATGTACGGCTATACAGGGCTTAGAAAGCTATACAAAGCTGTAAAGAGCTATACGCTGCTATACAAGACTATACCCAACTATACACCTTAATGCAGGGCTATACACAGCTTATACAGGACTGTAAACAGATAAACACCTCAATACAGGGCTGTGCAGCCATACAGGGCGATACAAGGCCAACCACCTCAATACAGGGCTATACACAGCTATACACAACTATATACAGTTACACGGGGCTACACACAACTATACAGGGCTATACACAGCTAGACAGGGCTATACACAGCTAGACAGGGCTATACACAGCTATACACGGTTATACACAGCTATACGCGGCTATACACAGCTACACGGGGCTATACTAAACTATACAGGGCTATACACAGCTATACAGGGCTATACAAAGCTATACAGGGCTATACAAAGCTATACAGGGCTATAGACAGCTATACAGGGCTATACACAGCTGCACAGGGCTATACTACAGCCATACAGGGCTATACACAGCCATACAGGGCTCTCAGTTACATACGGCTATACATGGCTATACACAGCTATACACCTTAATACAAGGCTAACTCTGATAGCTTTGAAGAGTACAGAGACTGACGTTAATGGGTTAGAGGATGTCTACAAATTTAGCCAAGACGGTTTTTTTTTTTAATGAAGTTGGTGATTTATGCGCGAGAACAACAGCTAAACTCTAAAAAATTTCATTACCGCTCTCCCTTTAACACCCACGTTTCCATTCCTACCAGATGAGTTCCTTAACACTACACCCATCTACTGTAACGATAGAATTTTTAGTCATCAAGTTTTTATGCTGACGCTAAATAGTATAGAATTCAACGTAGAAACTGCGAAGTTTTGCTAACAGTTGTTCATTCTGAGCCTGGTGGCTACTATGATGCCTCAAAAGGTACTCAATAATTGTTCAAAAAACTAGTACTAATAGCGAATTCTGATAATATTACATACCTCCTTACATATCAAGGTTTGAACTGACAATTTTTACGAGACCCTCCCAATGTCTTGGCACCTTTATTAGCTGGAAGTCTTGTGCAAGTACTAAGTTGTTAGTGCTCAAGTTCATCAAATTAATAATGTTAATTGAACTGAGTGGAGTGCAATTTGTATAGGAAATCATTCGATGGATAAGGCCCCGTCCACACGTATCTGGATATTTTTGAATCCGCAACTTTTTCTTTCCGGATACGAAAATATCCGCGTCCACACGTTATGTGATTACAGCGTATTCAAATCGAATTCGCCCGTCGACACGTATCCGGATTCACTCCGGATTCACTCTAGTACCCAGGATGACTTTATATACATTGGTTACGGAGCATGCGCTGCGGCATTTAGCAGCCGCGGGAATTCGATGTTTCAGTTTACGTGCATCAGTTTAAACAGTTAAAAACATGTCGAAATTAGGCAAGAAAGCTAAGGAGAATGAGGGGAACAAGCCAGAATCATTCAAATGGAGCGACGACGAGATAGAGTTTTTATTGAACGTGACAATATAGTACAAAGCCGCAAAATCTATGGAGAACATTGACTGGGAGTCGTACCAAAATAAATATGGGAATATTTTAGATCGCTTCGTAAATCACTATTTGCCTTTGATCGGCGGCCATATTTAACTTTGCGCGTTGAACACTGGCGCCAATTTTGTGAGGTCATTGTATCAGAAATATCCGGATTCGACCGTTCACACGTATCCAAAATGTTATCGGATTAAAAAATTTCTACCCTGGAGAGCGGATTAAAAAATATTTGGATTTGCTTGCGAATTCGCCGGATACGCTTGGACGATAGCCGTATCCGGAAAGAAAAAGTTGCCGATTCAAAAATATCCGGATACGTGTGGACGGGGCCTAAAACGATGTTTTCTTCATTTGCGCTTAAAACTAATTCTGTAAATGGAGGCTATTTCAGATATGATTAACAACTATTCACCGAAGTGGAGGTGGTTAGTGGTGGATATTTACCGAGCGGCGAGGTAAATATCCACCGCTAACCACCGACAAGGAATTTACAAGATATGCATGATTTTGTGGCCAAGCCTCATGTTGTTATGGACATGTCTTTAAACATAGCTGCGAAGTCTTCAGCACAGTACAGATTGCGGCTAAAATAGCGCACCCTAGAGACATTGATTTGTAATAGACACATATTAATATACAATCTTTAAAGGATGAAAAACGCGACAAAAGATGACAAGTGATTCGTAATTTCTAATCCACATTGTATCAATCCACAGAGAAATTACTAAGAAAATACAGCTTTGTGTCAAAATCGAGTTTTTAAATAGATTTTGTAGGACTATTACGTTCTTTTTTCGTGCTATTATAGCAAAAGGTTCACGTCGTACATTTCATGTTCATGTTGGAAATGGTATAACTAATCCTATGTGAACTCATTCATGTTGGATTGCACGAGAAAAGGTACACCTTGATACATGTTTAATTGACGACAATAGTTTTCTGAATTACTCGGCAATGATAGTTCTGCATTCTCTCATTGACGGCATTCTCTCCTTTACTTGTTGTAGAAGTGTGTTATCAAAGAAATAAACGCGTGAAATGGGAAATTTGTGAGTAAAAACAAATGATATAACTGGACTCGAAAGAACATGTTACTTAATACAGGAAGACTAAAGAAGAGAGCCTGCATTTGTGTCAACTGGCTGCAATTTGAATCAACAACCAAGTAGTGAATAACATTTTTCGTTTAGATACAATGAATATATGAAGTTCATATATTTTGAACTGTGGTATTAAATACGTATGATGCACGATCCTTCGCAGTAGATAGCGCTATTTATGCAATAGCGAAAATCAGACCTGAAAAAAATCAGGCCTGTACGGGATTCGAACCACTGACCTCTGCGATACTAGTGCAGCGCTCTACCAATTGAGCTAACAAGCCAACTGGGAGCAGGCCGTTAAGTTGATTCGTAATAAACCCGTGATGATAAATCAGATACATGAATATATGAAGTTCATATATTTTGAACTGCGGTATTAACTACGTATGATGCACGATCCTTCGCTATTTATGCAAATTTTCGTTTAGCTCTTCTGGCTTTCTACGAGCGCTTGAACAGTTAATTGGTATTTACATCCTATTCCGGAAAAATAATTCGAATTTTTTTTTAAATCAAAATCCATTTTATGGAATTTTTCTACTTATTAGATAACAAACTGATCCTTGAATTAGGTGTGACAATATGAGTTTTGAAAGTAACGCCATTTCCATTCGACGCCTGTAGAAACTAAGATGTTAATCTGTTCAGTTTATTCTTGCATCTGGAAGATACAACTGTGCGCGCTCTTAATTTCATTTTTGAAATTTGACTAATCCTTCATCTTTCAGGAACAAATAACTCTGATGCAAATCAGTTGAATTGTCACAGCAATCTTGAAAAACGATTTCGATCACAAAAGCTTGATCTTACACTGGCAATATGGTAGCTCTCAACGCGGGCGAAGAGTTGGTATCTTTCGACGTTGTTTCGCTCTTCACTAAAATCCCAGTTGATCTTGCTGTTAAAGTTGCGGAGGAGAGACTCAGAGGAGACACTTCCCTTCGAGAAAAGAAATTCTTTACCGGCCTGTGGAGGATATAATTCATCTGTTGTATTTTTGCCTCGGCAAAACCACGCAATTTACTGGTACAGCTACTGGGTTCGCCCGTTTCTGTTGTCATTGCCAATTTGGTAATGGAAGTCTCGGTGACTTTCTTTAGGAAAGAAAAAGGACACCCCTTAGAAACGAGAACGGATGACAAATGTTTTTTCTCCTTGGACCTGACAGAGGGTTTTGTTATAAAGCGTTTGGTGCGCTCGTGGAGACACTTAACAAAACCGCGTTTTACTGATTGTGGGTGGTGTCAATCCTACGCCAAGTATTGATCAGCGTGTGTGGGCTTCCTGAAAACGATGGTGGTGAGGCGGCCGTCAGGCTCTCTTGAAACTGCGGTGTCGAAGAAGGCTAGTTTAGTGTCATTATCTGTCTCTAGGGTGAAACGGATGGAGGTTTGTAAATCGATCCACTATGCTGGAGGTATGTGGATCTTAGAACGACATTCAGAAGGTCGGCGATTTGAGCACCTGGGCGGCTGATCGTGAGGTCGTTCGGGGCCAATTTCTGTAGTGTGGCTTGGACAGCGGCGTCGATAAGGAGGTTGGTGAACGAGGACTCTACGTCGAAAGA